TGAGAAACAGGGAAGACTGGGAGTAATGGGTAGGCTATAATTGGCATTTTCTCAGGGTCGGTTTATTATTAAAATCAATTTCTACAAACGTTGCCTACACTATTGGCAACTCGTTGATCTTTTGTGACAACATGCCGCAATAGCGTTTGCTATTAGGCTACACTATGTCAGTTGCTTATTTTACAGAATATATGGGTAGTTGAAGCACATCGCTACCACCATAGAGACTGGGGCTATGGTTGGCACAGTTGGCACAAGGGTTTGCGTTTCAAAAGTCCAGTTACACAAATGTGTTTTTTACTTATTGGTGTTGTATGTTGTTGATGAATGTATGAGAGATAGATAACAGTCATTCGCAACATTTCTATGACTCATTCATTTCTCTCTCTTTGTTTTTCTCCTGAAGCAGAAGACACTGGCTGACACATGCACCCCGTGCCGAGAAGACCTCTGGGCTGTTAACACCCATGTTTTATCAGCACCGTAATTTTAAACCACCTCAGAACAATGGCTCAAAATTAGAAGACAATACAAATATCTTGAGTCAATATAATGCGAGAGGAAGAAAAATAAAGGGCTGCAAAATATCAAAATGATTTCTGCTGACCTACGATGTGCATTCAGACCTTTGGCATCTCAGACCATTAATTCACACACACACAGATAAAACAATGTAAAGGTTAACGCTGTTCGGAAATCTCTCAATCCTTCGTATTTAAACATAATATTTTATATTAATTATTTTTTTTTTATTGTTTTCAGGTTTAATTTAGACTTTGAACCAGATGTTTTTACACCAATGGACAAAACTATGAAGCTATTATTTTGTTTTCAGGTGGTTTAGTTATGGAACATGTTTTATAAATTTAAACGTAATACGTTATATTCATTTTCCTTCAAACATGTCTTTGTTTTAAACTTTTAAATTTACATTTTGACCATTTTTCAATTTGGTCTCAGACTCTCAGAGATACAAAACAGCTGTAAAGTAAGATATTATTTTGTGTTCAAGTAGTTATGCAAAATGTTTAAGAAATGTAAAAAATACTTTTCAAAAACTTTATTTTCAGGTTTAAATGACCTATTTTAATTAATATCTCTAACTAATAGACAAAAAACATTATACAATAAGATAATTTTGTGTTCAAGTAATATATTTATGCAACATATTAAAATAAATCAAAGATCCAAGATCATAGGTCTTCTTTCATGTTCTTCTGGCAGACAGATCTATGGTTCAATCACATGTCCCAGACACCACAAATAACAGCAAATGTGGGGAAAGGCTTAATCACAAGTGCAAACGCTTTCAAGAGCACAATCAGTGATACTGACATTCGGCCAAGGGGAAATAGAGAAAATAGCTGCCATTAAACATTAAAGGGAGGAGATGACAATACAAATAAACAACTGTTTCAAAATGGTAACGGTGTAATTGTTATTAGTATTTCTGCATCCCCCCTCTTAAGCGACCTCACTCCCCCACTTCAGGATGGGAGTATATAGAACAGTGAATGGCTGAGTTTCCTGAGCAGCCACAGCACAGAAAATGAGATCTTTCCTGCCAGAGTTACTCCAGCCCTCGTTTTCCCGTTGTTGCAGACGAATCGTGACTACACCTGGCCTTATAATAGTAAAGTACCGTTGAGCTCATGCTACTTTACTTGGCCTCAGCTAAATTAGATGCTGCGTCATTCGCAAAGCCCTCGATTCCAAAACTGCCTAGAATAGTCAGCTGATCTTCAGGGGTGATGGTGTTCAATCAATCATGTCAGACGTCACAGAGCACGTTTACATAACACGGGCTTGTAAATAAGGTAGAGGCACTTAGATTTAGTAGGAAAATGCTGACTAGATGCTTTAAAGAATATGTTTCCTGAAACAAAAGCTGTTTGGGGGACCGAGATGAGGGGGTCGCCGAGAAGAGTCAAGGAACTGACACCCATTATGACCCACCACCATCGGTCAATTCTATCGTCCCTCACCCTGTTATCAGTGCAGGAAGAGGCAGGGTGGTGTGTTTTACTGTGCTATGCTAAAAGCACATGATTTCTGGCTTCAGCGCCAACATACAGCTTCATAGGCTGCCCCTTACCTTCAAATAACATGCTTGGGATCAAGGATAAACAGGATGAGAGGTGTACATGGCTGTACATGTACATACTGCATTATGGCCTGGCTTAGTTGACACTCATGCACTGTCAATATATGCGTGCGCTCTGTGCTTTCAGAAGATATTTAAATTTGCCTAAATTATAATTGTAATACAACAAGTCTGTGACACAACAATAGCAGATCAGGGTGGAACTTCCTGATCTGAAACAAACAGGTTAAAGTTCAAGAGAAGAGAATAAGTTGCAGATAATATATTGTACCTGCTATCATACTGACCAGATTTAGAAACATGTTTTTACAGCAGTATTCGACCAGGAAAATAAAAGATAACATGCAAAGGACAACTTCACCACGTTTCACTTAATACTTCAAAATACACTCACAGCCTGCTTAAGTATTTATTGTAAAAAAAAAAAAAAGAAAATTGTAGTAGAAATTTGTGATTGTCACTTTAAGAGCTCTGTACTATAAAAAGCTTGTTCAGATATATAGGTTGACAGACTAGGGATTGTCTTTATGAGTGAGTCATTGAATCAATTCCTCAACCCATTTGTTCAAAAACACTGATTGATTCAATAACTATTTAAGTGACTGCATGGCTGCATCTGAAATCACATACTTCATTTAGAAGGCAAGAAAAAAAAACAGTAGGCTATGTGACAAAAAAAAATCTATACGGTATGTCAGAATTCACACTCATAAAAGAGTATAGGCACTCGGATGACCTACTTCTGCAATATTAAACAAGCATACGATGGCACTTTAGTATTGGCCACGGTTGTAGTCACGTGATAATGACAACACTGTGGATGTAATGTACCATACCATATAGGCTTTACTATAGAACTTATTTAGTGAATGCAAATCTAATTCTTCAAAATAAGGCCTACCTGTCTTCATGACTAAATCATTGAATCATTCACTCAAACAACTCATTCATACAGTTGATCATGTTGTGGCTCAGTTTTGGAGCTGTGTTTGTTGGAGAAACATTGTTAAATAGTGACGTCTTTAGCTTTGAAAACAGAGACTGTTCCTCTCAAATGTTTCATATATGGTTCATTATTCAAACCTTGTCGACATGTTATAGCTATGGTCACCAATATGAATGTCCACCAACCAAACATGCTTTGTGTGTCCCATACAGCTGCTATTTTCACAGCTGGTTCTGCAACCGATTCTTCACGAAACATTTGTAGCCTAAAAGACATTCATTGTCGAAGTGATTAGCACTAAAATAAATGAAACGCGAATAAAAGCTGTGATCTATCTGTTAAAACCTAACCATGCACATTTTTTTTTTTACCACATTACGATATAATTATATTTCTTTCTTTCTTTCTTTTTTAACAGTATGGAAACCTGCAGTCTTTTTACAGTCTATGGTTGGAGTTCTCTCTTCGCAGTCACGTGGTTCAAGATTGGCGAGGACGTGCTTTTAGCAAAAAACAAGTTTGAAATCCGATTCAAAATACAACCAAATTTGTCCTTTTCTTGATTTATTTAAAAAAAATCAGGTTATGTCAGTTGTTTTCTTACAAAATCACCTCTCTAAGGTCTATGTGAGAAAGGCTCTTGAGTGTGTGAAGGGAGTGTGTCATGAGTGTGCAAGGTGGGTGTGGATGTGCCGTTGGAGGCGGGCAGCGACCCATTATTATCAGTTGATTAGCAAGTCTTTTCCGGCCTAGAGTTTTCTATTTTCCAGAAGGAATAATATCTTCTAATGCACTTTGGCACACACTTCAAACTACCGCCAGGAGCTAATCTGCCTATTTCCCCCTTCATTCTTGTGTTTTGACAATAACGATAGCCTATCGCAACATGTGAAAGACTGCCTGTCTTCCTCTTTTCTGATATGATGAAGTCATTCAGACCAGTCAAAAATGCCCTCTGCTGACAGAAGTGGCATGCGTCCACCCAATATTGTTTTACTAAATGTTTCTGAGGTAAACTAAAAGTAAGAGGACAAGATTTATCGTCATTATTTGCAGGGTACGTGAGTTTGATTAATGTCACAATTTGCTTTAAAACGTGACTCAGAAATAGTGTAGAATTTTAGACATTTTCTTTTCTAGTTAGCCTACATATCCTTTTTTCATTAAACGCTAAACCTCAATTTAATATTTAAAATTAGATTTTTTCGTCCCACATGTCCCCATACTTTTGTTGAAGTAAATTTGCAAGATTATAAGACAAGCTAATACTTGATTACAGTGTTGTTTTAATATTATGTTAAATATTATTTTAGCATGAGTCACAATTTAATATTATTTTAACTTTTGATCCTCATGACAAACAAAACCTTTATGGTTTAACTGTTTCAGCAGAGGAAATCCAACATTTTAGGTTTATCAGGACATCCATCAAAGAACACAAGAAATGACAAGAAAACAAAAATTAAGACAGACAAATCATAATCAGAGGCCGGGATTTCTTTTTCTGCTTTAGGAGAAAAGAAAAAAGGAAAAGGAAATGAACACTCAACGAGGACAACGGATGGACGATATAGAGGTGGGGGTGAAAGGGAGAAAGCGAGTGGCTTGCACACTCTCCTGATGATGTAGGGCTTTTATCTGCCATGGGCATCCGTGAGGGAAAAGCACAGGATGGGTCAGCAGCAGAGTCTCTACGGGACTGCTGACAGACCTGGGGCAAAATAAAGACCCTGATTAAAGCCGGCCAGCTACGGGTGGAGGAACAGCTGGGGGAAGATGTATGGACAGACAAGCACACTAACACCAGAGCTAAACATAACCACAACGGCGCCATTAAAGCAGTAGTCAGGTGCTCAGATGGCAAGAAATGTATGCTGACCTCCATGGAAAGGTCCTTAGCAGATCCAGAAACAAAAATGGGTTTAAAATGACTCACAAATGACGCACTGGTTGAAAAAACAGGTGTAAACACATTTATTGTACTCTTTTCCTGTGTAAAAATTGTTTGTCACAGTCCCTTATTATGCTTTAAGGACACAGCTGGAATTATTGAAAGAAATTAAATGGTCAACATTTTTTTTTTCCAATTATTAATCCTCACTGTATTTTCTTTTTGTCTTCCATTAATATTGAAGTAAAAAAAAGACACCCATATATGATCTATCAGTGCAAGACAGACAGTCTGACATCCAGCCACTCTTGAATCCAGTTGTTTTGAGCTGTAAAAATACTTTTTGTGAGTGTGGAAAAACACTTAAAAGGATAATTCACTCCAAAAATGTAAGGTTTCAAACTGCATGAATGGAACAATGAATGGAATGGAATTGAGTCTTAAACATTCTTTGTGTCTCAAAGAAAGAAACCATACAGGTTTAGCACATGAATAAAAGATTATTATTTTTGAGTGAACTATCCATTTAAGCAATGATTTACATCCATACTTGACTTAGAATATAATTCAGTCATGTTGCTATATTTAAAAAAATCTGATTTATGCAACTATCATGTCATTAAAATAGAAGTCTATATAAATTTTGTTATAATGGATTTGTGGTACCCTGTCCCCTACTGGCCATCAGTTGAAGGACATGACGCTTCCAATGTATATTTTGTTATGGTATGCTACCTCGTAAATTGCCCTATGGGGACAAACAAAATGTTTGACATGAAATGAAATTAGTTTAAAATGATGCTGATATAGAAACAAATCCATAAATAATACAATCATACAAAAGAATAAACAACAATATAATCAGCAAATAAAATGTGTACTACATAAATACCAGACTCTATAAAAATAGTGATTATCGAATCAAAAAGTCCACATTTATCAATCACATTCTTGTTATGTCCATGAAACAGGAAACGGCCATGTGCGTTGATTGTCTCGCCACACAATTTAACCCAAAATGCATGAACTAACCAAACTGTGACCTTATTGCCCAATTTAGGTGTTTTTAAAGCAAATACCTTATTTTGGTCATCTGCACAAGTTTCTGGAAAGCAGTAGTTACATTTGCATAATTCTGTGTTAACATTTCAGAATATAATATTGCACATTAAAGTTTCACATATGAAATAACAAAAACCCTAAACATTCACAGTATTCTTGGCCTAAAGCTTGAAATCAATGGCAAACATAGTCTGAATTTAACATTTTAAAACCTAAACTCTCCAAAAGTGTCTTTTTCAAGCCTGCGTTTTCTCACACCAAACATAAATCTCCAAGATCAGTATCACTTGCTCCACTTTCATCCCTTTTCACAGGTTCTTCACTTTAGTGAGAAGCAGACAAACCCCATCATAATGGACTTCCTGCTATAAGGACCCACAATACAACAGGGATTGGAATCATTGGATGACACTAAAAATAGTGATATACAAGGGGAAAGCGTGGGGGGCCCCAACCAGGACAGAACTCAACACTCTCATTCCACCACCAGGAAAAGGAAACGTGGTTATGGCTGTGATGTCATCCTCTGAAATAGCATTTCTGGATGCATGTCAAAGTCCTCTAAAGCCATTGTTCATTTTTCATAAGGCATTAGTTCAAGGCGTTCAGTGATTTGACATCCCTTTTAAATGCAGTTATATATATTTATATTACTGAAGTAAACCCATAAAACTGGTTGCAGAAATCCACTCCGGAAATTCCATCAGTCGATATTTATCGTTCAGGCAACCTTTGTAAACAGATTTGGTGACCATCTATAAATGGACGCAAAATAGCCCTGGTCCAATAGGAGAAAGCCACAGAATGGGATCCAGAACCATCTCCAGAAGGTAATGGGCTTCAATAGCCAATGATATATGAAAAGGCTAATCGCTCTTCAATGAATCTTTGAGAGCCCATTGGCCAGAAGGAGTTTGAGAGGGATGGTTGATCGAGACACAGTCAGAGGCAGTCTGTGGAGACCTGGAGAAAGAAAACAGGAGAGTAAAGAACATTAGAGCGCCAAACCTAATATAACAACCAGAAAAGGTAACTTTGGCGGGCATTGTTTGGGTTAAAAGCAAATCAAAGAACAAAAGCCAGTAGGGGGAGTAACGAAAAAGAAATGCTATCTGAAGATGGTCTATGAGTGTGTGTTCACATTCAGAAGTGTTGTTTGTGTTGGGTGGAGGGCGATGGGTGTGTCTCTTCCAGAAGGAGTTTGACGCCCTGAGGTCCCCAAGGAACGCCGCTTCACCCCTTCTGTCCTCTCTCACTTTCCTGAGAGAATTGTGCTTTTTCTATCTGAGGAAAGAGACCTACCCATAGAGAAACATGGCCTGTGTGAGGAACACCTCACCCAAAGACTAACTACAAACACTGGCAAATGGCAGCATGGTGCACACCCCTTGTCCTTTCAAGATACAATGTGTACATGCACAAATCTTTCTCCTTGCACGTTTTCCTTCAAATAACTGTTAGAATTAACTGTTAATAAAAAAAAAGGTCCATCGACAAAATATGTGGTGTCATGTTGGAAATAAAAGGCATTAAAGTCCAAATCCCAAAGATTTATATGTAATATATAGTGTTTTTTTTTTTTTAATTACATGCATGCATACCATACATACAGAACCAGTCATGAGTCACTCTTATTCATTGGTTTGTCGTTATCTTCTAGTTTTCAAAATTGTATTAACACTGAAGACATTGAAATTATGACATTTATGTACTCAACAAAAACTTATTCAACCCAGATTATGTTTTATATTTATGATTCTTTATGACACCGGGGTGGGTTCAAATAAGTTTGACTTCTATCCACTCCGTTTCGAGCACTAGATTTAGGTTTTGTTAAAGTTGATGTAAATATGATGAATTTAAAGGCCTGTACAGACTAACCAAAATGCTTCGTATTGCCTTGTCATGTGTAACTACATATTGCTCGAAATAAACAAATAAATAAATAAAATAATAAATAAATTCTTCAAAGTAGACAGCTTTTGCTTTGATGTCAGATTTGCACACTATTGGCATTCTCAGTCAGCCTCATGAGGTAGACACCTGGAATAGTTTTCCAACAATCTTAAAGGAGTTCCCAGAGGTGTTGAGTACTTGTTGGCTGCTTTTCCTTCACTCTCTGGTCCAACTCATCCCAAACCATCTTTAGATTTAGATCAGGTGATTATGGATGCCAGATCATCCGATGCAGCACTCCATCACACTCCTTGGACAAATAGCTCTTACATAACCTAGAGGTGTTTGGGGTCATTGTCCTGTTGGAAAACAAATGATGGCCCTACTAAGTGCAAACCAGATGGGATGGCATGTTGCGGCAAAATGCTGTGGTAGCCATGCTGATGGCCCTAAGTCACCAACAGTGTCACCAGCAAAGCATGCCTACACAATCACACTCCCTCCTCCATGCTTCACAGTGGGAATCACACATTCAGGAACCATCCATTTAACCTCTCTACTTCCAACAAAGACACAGCACTTAGAACCATAAATCTCCAATCTAATCAGTTTTACACTAATCTAATGTCCATTCTTTGTGTTTCTTGGCCACTGATCTACATAGGGAACTGGATTGCTCATGATGTTAAAAGTGAAGCCACCACGCCGCCATATTGGTATTCCCTAGTATATCCTTACAGTATACCCTAGAAATATGTTCAAGGTTAATATTCCCTTCATAATAATGTACATAGACTATTTTGATAAACGTACATTTAGATCTATTTAGAGTTAGTTTAGTTATGTCGGCAGTGTGCTGTTGACACACCCATCTTAACGATTACAATCGCTTATCCTGCCTGTAAACATTAAAGATAACAATCGAAGTATCCATTAATGCACATACATATATCGTAAACTATTCGTGTGTGATCGATTTGCTACAAAACAGGTTATTTTTGGTCATTGTTTTGGCTAAGTTAATGATTTCGGTAGGGAATGGCAAGATGGCCGCTCGAACACTTCTGGTGGCTTCACCGCCTGCTGGCAGTTTAGAACGCAATGAGCAATCAGGTCATTATGCAAATCAGTGTTTCTTGGCCCAAGCAAGTCTACTCTTCTCTTCTTTCAAAGTAATGGTTTCTTTGACGTAATTTGACCATGAAGGCCTGACTCACACAGTCTCATCTGAACGGTGGATGTTGAAATATGTCTGTCACTTCCACTCAGAGAAGATTTTGGAAAATTGGCGGTTTCTGAGGCTGGTAATTCTAATAAACGTATTCTCTGCAGTAGAGGTACCTCTTGATCCTTTCCTGGGATGTTCCTCATGAGTGCCAGTTTCATCATATCGTTTGATGGTTTTGGCGACTGGACTTGGGGATACATTCAAAGTTCTTGAGATTTTCTGACTGACTGACTGACCTTCATTTCTTAAAATAATGATGGACTTTTATAATCTAAATTATAAAACATATTCTGGGTTGTTTAACACTTTTTTAATTACATAATTCAATACGTGTTCATTCATAGTTTGGATGTCTTCAGTATTAATGTACAATAATATTAATGTACAAAAAATAAAAATTATGTTTAAAATAATTATAAAAAAAGAAAAACCACTGGAGGTGGTGTGTCCAAACATTTGACTGGTGCTGTATATTTTCCACAGAACATTTCAAAATAATAAAAGCAGTAAATAAATAATTATCACAGGGATCTTCCCCCAAAACTAAAAATAATTAGACAAGTAAAAATATAAAAGACTAACCAAAGGCACGGATGAGTTCTCGTTGCAAGGCCCATGTGACTGTGTTGATGAGGCAGGCGGATGTGAGTCCAGCAAAAAGCATATTGTACAGGAAAACAATGTGGAAACTGCCGAGCCAGTTAAACCGTCCAAAGTCTCCAAGCAGATCAAACCTTGTAATTCCTACATGTAGTAACATGAAAAAGAGGAAAATTATAAAGTATTAATTCAAATTATAAAATACAATGGCCACATATTGCTGAATTATTGCGAACTACTACCATCTTGTGGACAGACAAATTAAACTTGTTATTAAATGTGTAGTACACTCAGCTACATTTACCAGTTTAAATTCATTCATAAAAATATAGATTTTATATAATATAGATAGATATTATATAAATATAGATAGATATAGATATATAGATTTTTCTCTAAAATCAGCAAAAAAAAAATGTGCAAATTGTGCCTTTGCCTACAACAGACCTCAAAATCATGGTGCTATTAAATAACATTTTACATTTAAACATTAAATAATGACTAAAAATTGTAAAATACTTACCCAATGTGCGGGAGAAAACAGGCAGGGCTGAACTGAGTATTAAAAGAGAAACACAGTTCCCTATAATCTGTGGAGAGATGTAAAAAAATCTATTTAACTATAAAGAGCCACACCATCTGAATGCGAGATATCCAGAAATATTTTTTACTGTTGTTTCACGGTGAGTATAGGAGATCTCTGTACCTGTGTGAGGGTAGTGTCCTGTGCACGTGGCAGCAAACCAGTGAACAGCGGAGAGCTGTAGAAGCCAACGACAGAGGAGACCATGAGATACAGGATGATGACCACCTGCACTGCAGCTCCCAGAGAACCGAACATTGAGAACGAGGCAAGCCCCAAGTGAGGGTCCTGCAAAAAAAAAAAAAAAAAAAAAACTATTGTGAGAGTATGGTCATTAATGATTGCTGCAAGGGAAAAAAAAAAAGCAGAATATGGTAGAAGGACATTTAGAAGGATATTAGAGAGTAAATACAATTTTCTTTCCATGAATTACAATTTACAGGTCCATATATGAATCCCATTGTCTTGTATCTCACCTCCATCCCTCTAGGCATAGCGGATTCATCAAAGAGCAGTTCCAGCACATGGAAACAGACCATCAGCACACACACCGCCTGAGAAACACCGTACATTTTGTTTTAGCACAATGGTTTAATCGTAGCCAGTATAAGTATTCTGAATTCCATAAGGTCTACTCTTACAGTCAAAGCTAAAAGTAGCAGCATGGCCACTGGGTATCCCAGGTTGCGTTGCCATGGAGATACTCTCTTCCTCATCTCTAAATGGAAGAAATAAGGATGAAAAGCAATTCATGATAGCTCAATTAAAAATGTATTTAACAGTTTATCAACTGTGTTCGTACCTAGAGCAATACGTTTGGACTTCACACTCAAATATTCCTTGTTGATGGCCTTTATGTTTGCACTGATCCAACAGGAGGTGTTACCTAAAACATCAGATAGAGAGAGAGTTTTTATAAGTTTAGGAAACCATGTTTTGGTAATGTAAATGCCAGACAAAAACTGCTTTAGACAATAAAAAGAAAATGAGAGAAAGAAAGAAAAATCTTTAAAAGGTGGGCCCACTTCCTTAACAGCAGCCAGTTTGTCTCTCACATCCTGACACTCACATTTCAACTTCCTGGACAGAGAGGCCTCTTCAAAATGTGTACAGTTCATTGCTTCTTCCAAGTTCTCCAACAACTAAAAAAAAAAAAGAAGATAAGACTTAACTTCACATTTCTAATTTCTCTTTAAATATATGAAGAGTTCAGATGCAAAAGCCTCTAAGTGCCATTTGAAATTTTCTTCTAAAATGACCATTTTTATCAAGCTTGTATATTTAAGTTCAGTAATTTCACTTAGATGGCAATGAAGATTACCTATTAATTGTCATTTAAGTGAAATTACTGAACTTAAATATACAAGTTTGATAAAAATGGTCATTTTAGAAGAAAATTGCAAATGGCATTTAGAGGCTTTTGCATCTGAACTCTTCATATATACTATAATTTAAAAGTTTTTTTGTTTTATTTTGTTTGAAAGATTAACACTCTTATTCAGCAAGGAAGCTTTAAATTAGTTCAAAATGACAGTAAAGACATTTAATGTTACAAAATATTCCAGTATCAAATAAATGCTACTCTTTTAAAATTTCTATTCATCAAAGAATTACAGTAGTTTACACAAAAATTAAGCAGCACAACTGTTTTTAACATCAATAATAAGGAATGTTAATTTAGTGACAAATAAACATTTAATAATGATTTCTGACGGATTATGTGACACTGAAGAATTGCAATTACATATTTATATATTCAAAATAGAAACAGTACAAACAGTTATCCTGTGTCCACCTACCCGAGGTTTGACCAATAAGCTCCCAGTGACGCTAAACATACGTGAAAGCCCCAAGGGTGTGCACACTGTTACAAGACAAAAAAGGCAACAAATCTATATATGAGAAGTCAAAAGCAATGAAATGCCAAACTACATGTTAATCATCAAATAATAAAAAAATAATATACAAATGCATATACACTTACACAAAAGCAGCAGAACTCCAAAAAGTGAGATTCCAGAATAGAGATAGGGCAGGTAATATTCCCACAGATCTGAAAAGCACAAGAAAATAAGCAGAATATTACAACACCTTTATCTTGCTCTTATACAATTAAGAGGAAATTTGGGAGTCTATCGGCATTAAAAAACTGTGATGTGATCCATTCAATCAAAGATACCGAACAAGTGCAGCACATAGTCTCTAATGTTGCAGTGCTGCCCTTACCGTAAAGACTCTCACGGGCGGAGCTGTGATGGAGAAGAGCTGATGCCACCCACACAATGCCCAGCACCAACAGACTAAGGAGAAGCAGCATCACTGCAGTCTCGTACACCCGTGCCATAACACCCTTTCAGAGGAAAACACAACAACTGAACAAATACAGATCTGAATTCAGATGCTATAGAGATGTGCTTACTGTTAAACTAATTACATCATTTTACCTTTTTGGACCCAGCAAATCCTTCTGATTCAGTAAAGAAGTAGGCGAATGGCATTAGGAAGACCAGAGAGAGGTTTGAGAATAAAAAGACAAGGTTCCACAAGCCTGAAACAGAGACAGAAGGAGAATTAATGATTAAATGAAAGATGATTGTGTACTATTCCTATATTGACAAGCAAAAACCCCAAACTCGCATGATAACATTTGTCTGGGTCGCTCTGGGTCTCCACAAAAATATTAAGCAGGACAAATGTTTCTTGAGGACCAAATCAGCATATTAGACTGATATCTGAAGGATCATGTGACACTAAAGACTGCAATAATAATGCTGAAAATTCAGCTTTTCCATCACAGGAATAAATTAAATTCTAAACAGTAGTACACATCAACAATATTTAATCATATATGTATAATATTTTGTGTTAAAAAAAATACCAGGTTATTAGGAGGAATACAAAGAATAGTACACTTACAGACCACTAGGGGGCAACCATATGCAGCTTAAGAGATCTGGTGTTACACGTGCACTATTGAAACAGCATTTCACCAAATGCCAGCAAACTGAATAAATCTGGATTTTCAACTAAATTGTGGCCTTGGATTATTAGCCAGAACATCTTATACTCTTGGCAGACTCGCTGGCACTCTGCACGTGCTAACACAGAGCTGTACGACTTATTAGTTTGTTTGTTCCCTAACCAAGTCATTGTGGGAGTAAAAACATTACCATTTCAGTTCAAATTGGGTGACAAAATACTACTTGAGAACCTAATGAAGTCGTCATTTATTAAATTGATTATAACCGATATGGTAAACACATAATCCAAGTGTGCAAAGCAAACATAGTTTTTCATTAGTGCGTGTGTTTGTACCGTGGATGAGCGAGCCATTGAGCCACTGCATGTAGTAGCTGTGCGGGAATGTGAGCAGAACCTCATTGGACAGGATAGAGATAGGCAGAAGCAGCACAGCACACACGGCCACTGAGAGTGTGAACGTACACAGCCACAGCCTGCGGAGAGAGAAAAACAAATCAAAGAAGGGCAAGGGAATGTTTTTGCAGCCATTTACTTTGACATAGTGCCAGCTATGAAGGGAGGTGGATGTTAAACGCCACTCTGGAGACCAAAGGGCAATTTGTTCACTTCAATCATTCAGGGCTAATAAAAAACTAATAAAAAAACAAAATACTAACCAGCAGTGTGTAATTTACTTAAAGTCAGTGTGAATTACTGTGGAATGCACGATTTTACTGTCATAATGTGACATTTCCGAGTGAAATGAGATATATAATTAATGCATTTGGAATTTATTGGATGTTAAAAATGGGAGCCAGACTGAATTTGAGCTTGCTAAATAAATTTCTAGCTATTATTGTGCATTATTCAACAGTAGTGCAGCCCATAATAAGAAATTACATTTCCATGTTACTTAAAGGGATAGTTCACCCAAAAATGATTTTATTCACCCTCAAGTTGTTTCAAATCCATATGAATTTCTTTCTTCGGCTGAACACAAAAGAAGATATTTTGATGGAAATAAAAAAAAAAATACTATGGAATTCAAAAGGGTCCATTAACTGTTTGGTTTCCAACATTCTTCAAAAGAACTTTTGTGTTCAGCTGAAGAAAGAAATTCATACATGTTTTGAACAACTTGAGGATTAGTAAATGATGACAGAATTTTCATTTTTGGGTGAACTATCCCCTTCATTTCCCCTTTTTTTGTGCTGCTTTAAATACTGGTTACTTACGCAATTTTGTTGACAGTGGCATCCTCAATGTCATCTGTGGGCAAAAAAAGGAAAAGGAAATAAGTTTATGTCCACAACACTATCCCACTGCAGACATACTGATGACTAGCATCAGTTCAACCTTGAAACTAAATTGAACAAAATAACAAGATCCCAGAAGGACCCAGATTCATTTTGAAGCTATTCCATGAAAGGAAACAACACAAAATAAAAAATTGTCGTTTGATCGTTCATTATTGCACGTGCAGGAGAACAATATCCATTTAAAGAGGAATTTGTCACAATAACAGGGAGTGATTGAGAACATGAGGCAGAGAGAATGAAAAATAAACCTCCTGCGAGAAAACATGTCCAGTGTGACAGAGCTCCAGGGTAAATATGTGTGACATTTCCTGGGAGCGCCCCAAACCTAATGCAGAACAGGTTTTCTCCACAAATCCTTCAAAACAACCAATATGCAACTGAAGAAACAACATTAGCCCTCCACGACTGGGGCACATTTAGTCTATGAAATGGACTGAGTTATAGAGGTGTTAAAAATACACAAAAATAGAGCAACAAATCTTGTGCAGTGATTCTGTTTGTGTTCCTAAATTAGAATATGTATCATAACGATAATGGTTTGGCTGGAAGTACACACTGTTCCCTGTGTCTAACACAAGACTTGTTCTTATGTTCCCCTGCACTACTGATCACGTAAAAGTGCTAGCCGATCGTTTTCACAGGTATCCATGACACAGGAGCTGCTGTGCTCACGGGGACCCAGATTCAAGACCGAACCAATTTCTCCTTTCTCTCCTTACACTGTCCAATCCAGTCTACTCTGACCTATATAATTAATAACTTGAATAATTTAACAAATTGTAAAGATTCTTCAACCATCTGGCTAATAGTCATGTACACAATGTTCCCCAAGTATGTCTAACACAGGACATGTTCTTACTTTCCTCTGCACTATTTTTACATTTTTGATCATGTAAGCATGTGGTAGATGGACATTTTAGAAACAGGAGCAGCTGTCCTTACAGGACCCCAGGGTTCAAATTCGAAACGATTTCCCTAGTCTCTCCCTACACTTTCCTCTCCACTGATAGGAGACAATTATAAAAGGTATAAAAATAATGAAGTGTGCAAACAATCTGTTTGAGACCCCTGAATTCTGTTCCACTGTACCTAGCTGTCATAGAACAAGAAATTGAAAGACATAAAAATCCAATAAATAAATAAACTGTAATAAAATGTATTACATTAAAAATATTTCAAGACCCCTGCATTCTGTTCTGCTGTACCTGTTTTTGAACAAACAACTCCTAACAATTCTTCAACAGTCTAAACAAGCCTGATGTGTTTTAAACACGTCAGGCAGGAGAAAACAATCCCTCAGATTTTCCACTGAGTGCAGGTTTAGCCGAACCAGCAGAGAGCGGAGAGTTAAATTAAGGGGTGTACACCAAAACATGAGATAGACTTCTCCTATGAAGCAGTGGGCCTATGTTTATCTCACGGGAACATTCCTCATCCACACTGCTGCCCTCCCTCGACGTTACATTCCTGTTGTCGACAGCTATCAGAAACTTTGTCTCTTCTATTCTGAAGAAGATTTCATTTTCACAGCTAAAGAACACCAAAACTATTAATCAAATAACAGAATACATTAATAGTTCACTATCTGAAAATGATTAGATAAGCATTTTTGGAAAATGCAGGAGAATGACCATGTCAGGTCGTGCTGACCAACAAATGGTCAGTTGTTGTTCAGCTAACAGAGCAGCAACAGTCAATCACAGGTGTGCTTTGAAAGACTGTAATATATTAAACCAAACAAGTTCTGAGGGTCCTGGGTGTCACGTTTAACTTACCGGCGACAAACTCTGCATTCTTCTTGAAGTGAGTGAGAATGAAGTGTGACAAGATGTACAGGCAAATGAAAAGCAGCACGCAAATCTAAAGCAGAAAAAAAAAGAGAAAATCAGTGCAATCTGAAAACATGAAATTGAAACATTTATGGTGCGTTTATTACATTTTATTCTAAATGAAAATTGTATTTGTATTGTTTTTATAAAGCTAAATTTTCCAGTCCATTTTTTTTTGTCCTTTTAGGAACTAAGATCCCCACCCTTGGCCTGCACCCAATGTCATTATACACTCTGTGTAAAAAAGGTACAAAAGCTGTCACTGGGGCAGTACCTAAAGAGTGCAAATTAATAGCTCAAAGTAACATAATTGTACCAAAAGTGTACATATTGGTGCTTAAATTTTATGTTAGAACCTTTCTAAAAAAGTGACAGCTTTTGTACATTTTTTATGCATGTATGGAAGAGAGAAATGTGAACATTCTTCAAAACATTTCCTTTTATGTTCCACGATGCTAATCACAATCTTTCTTAGAATATTGGGTGTAAATGCCACTTTGCAGAGTATCAGATATTACATACATTCACACAGGCACCTGCAGTATGAGTCATGCAGTTAATATGAGCAATATAGTCGTGAACAGGCAGCTACAAGACGCGCTATGCAAACGCACTGCTTAGATGTGTTGCCTGTCAATTTATGTTATCAGGAACACGTTAGGCAGAGCGCCTGTGAGGGAGCAGAGGTCATGTGAGACACAAACATAGCCCCATTATCACTGATACACGCTGCTGTGCGCAGTCCAGAATTGTCTTTATAGCTCTGTGACATAAGAACTCCTAATCAAGGACATTTGGTTCTTAATGATAACACACAGTCTGGTGACAGGACTAAACCAGTCAAAGATAGGTGTAGGTTTTGTATTATTGATAAAGATAATAGGAAGAAAGGGGTATAGGGGGTATGCTGTGTCCTATGTACTGTACTGTAAAAGCAATAGAAAGTGATTCAATAGGTAGATTGTCCCTTTTTTAAAGCCAGCTGTCCCCTTTCTGAGGAATCTGAATTAAGATTAATGAACAACACCCACAATACAGATTTAAAAATAAGGGTAACAACACCAGATGGAGGATGAAGATTACAGCTCAAATGCAAATGAAGATTTAAACCAAGCAGTTACAACTGGAATTAGATTGGTAAAATGTAGAGATTTACCAGAAGAGAAACAGTAGAAAAAAAAGTCAATGCATGACTCAACCCAAGTTCCCATTCTCATCCTGCAGTGGGATCTGTCCACATGACAATAACCTTCTAATTTCATGATTAACCTCTAACCTAAATTTCAGATATAAGATCCTCATGTGTATGCAATTCGTTTGAGAAGTGAAACATAAGACATGATGATTCCAACTAAACTTATAAGTTAAATAAACATTCTGAAGCACTGTATGTCCCATAAAGGAGAAGAATGACAGCAAGAGGAAGAGGGATAAGGGAGGGGACAGGAAGCTGGGATTTTGGCTTCAAAGTGGCAAAGGCAGGGAAAACAATGGATGGATCTGTGGGATATATATTTCTAGAGCTTTGAAAGGTGTTCTCACTCATCTGTGCTCAGCATTTGAATAGTTTGTCTCCTTTGACTAAGACAGCATGCACTGAGCCAGAGTTGCTAAACTACAGAATGCGTTAAAACTGAAACAAACGATTGCCTAACACAGTTGAAGATAACATGAGAATACATGTCTGGACTCATTGTATTACAGTCAAAGAAATTTTGAACGTTTTTTTTTTTTGTCTTAAAACAACACTGGCCTCAACTGAAAAAACAGTGCTTGGAAATATCTTTTGTGTTCCACGGAAGAAAAAAAAAACGTCACACAGGTGATATGTCATCAGGGAGGGTAAATGACGACAAATTTCATTGTTTGGTGAACTATCCCCTTTAAGTCCTTTCAAACAACCACAAGGGTGGACAATGACAACATTTGATAATAGCCTGTCGTAGGTCATTAAACAGAAAGAAAGTTTACCTAACTAATATGCAGGCAATGGCATGTTTTCAAACGTCTTCATCAATTTGGCTCAATGGTATTGAGACTGGCCGCAAAATGTGAGCGCAATCGTAATATCAACCAGCAACCTGTGTATTTGCTGACCGATTTGGCAGGGCTGGTTAAACTTAAACATTTTGAATCTTAGGTCTCATTTTGAGTAATCCTCGGCGCACAATACAGGACCTGGAATGAAGCCCAAGTTATTCCTTGAAGTGAAAGCCTATTTAACAAAACAGCCAGCTATAGAGCGACCGCGAACTGACACAATGAGAAAACAACACTCATGGTGTGCTGGGATAGGTTGGCAAAAGGACAGACATACACTCACCTAAAGGATTATTAGGAACACCATACTAATACTGTGTTGACCCCTTTCACCTTCAGAACTGCCTAAATTCTAAATGGCATTGATTCAACAAGGTGCTAAAAGCATTCTTTAGAAATGTTGGGCTATATTGATAGGATAGCATCTTGCAGTTGATGGAGATTTGTGGGATGCACATCCAGGACACGAAGCTCCCGTTCCACCACATCCCAAAGATCCTCTATTGGGTTGAGATCTGGTGACTGTGGGGGCCATTTTAGTTCAGTGAATACAGATAATTGCATTGAGAAATTGTAATATAAATGCTAATAATCCTTTAGGTAAGTGTAAAGGACAAAAACACTAATAACTTGATTTTTAACTGGGCCGTTAAGGATGCGAATATTTAGACCAGTGTCAGAAACTTTAAGCTTTTAAAAAATCTTAGTTGGCCCCTAAAATGTATTTTCAGTGTTTTATTACATTTGTGATATACAACACATTGTGTTATTCATGTTATTCAAAATTTATAGAAAAAGCCTGGTGTTTACGGCAAAGTATTCTGTATCCCGTATTTGTATGTATATTTATTTTTGTGGTTTAGTTATATTATGTTGGAGATTCTGTCTTATATCACGTGGCTATTTTGGTGATATGTGCAGAAGCTGTTGTGTCTAATAAGCCCATGAGGGCTGGGCACCATAAAAGGTGTTTGACACGTATAAACAATTCAATCAATCAATCAATCAAAAATATTCATTTATGAGAAGCACATCAAATAAATTAAGTAATTTATCATGCCAAATTACATACATTTTAACAATTGTAACTTCAAATTAAAATCAAAAACAAAATCAGTGCATCAGTATATAAATTATCAGTATATAAATTAAACATATATCATAACATAACACTGCATGTATTCAGGTATTAACCCCATTACTAGATAAAAGTATAGTAGAGAAAATTTAGAAAATTCAAGACTCAAGTTTGTTTTCATGAGTAATAAAGAATAACACAAGTCCAAATACCTTCTTAAATACTATTAACCTCTGCAGACGTAAATACAAAAAGCCCTCTATTGTTGAAGGCCGAGCGGCATGTGCAGATACGCACCTTAATAAAGTCTATTACACACACACTGCATTCCTTGAACATCTACGTGGGAACCGTTCCAAATCAGCTACTCCCTCTAACAGGTTGGCTCTCTTGAAAATTAACCAAGTACAAAACTGAGACACTGTAATAAATTTTGTGTTGCTTTACAAATGGGAATTCAATACTTCTGAGTTCCACCCAAGAACCCACCTACAAAAAAGTTTTTATCTGACATATTAAATTCAAGTGCATTCTTAGTTTAATTTAGCTTCTAATTTAAATAAAATTAATTGTATTTAGGTGGTAACAATTATTTGATATTAGTGTAAATAAATATACGGGAAATATCGAAAGAATCCTTTAAAAAGTATCAGTGTCCACAAAAATATAAAGCAGTAGAAAACTGTTTTCAATAATGTTAATGATAGGAGCATCAAATCAGCATATTATGATTTCTGAAGGATAATGTGAAACTTAGGACAGTAATGATGCTGGAAATTCAGCTTTGCCATCATGGGAATACTACATAATGTATATTTTAATGCATTTTAAAAGAGTAAACTTTCATTTTAAAATGATGATATTTCGGTTTAATTGAATACACACATATTTAAATTTCAAAATTCTGATTTTTGATTAGACACTAAAAGGTATATATATATAATATTCTATTGGTAGTAGTCAAATATTCTATTGGTAGTAGTCATACTACTGAGTGACAGCCTGACTTACGCACAATCTTTGACGTCAACAACAAAAGACATATGAAGCATTTTCTCCACCCATATTCAAGGTTGAATTGATATTTTGCTACCTAATAACAAACAACAACTATGATTAGTTGCATTTTAGTATTTCCAATTTTACATTTAACATTGATTTTCCCTGTAATCCATGATCCTATCAGAACAGAACAGAGATGAATTTTGGGGTCAAAACCCACAAGTTAAATCACTGATTTAAATGATAAATCCCAGATAAGCCTCAGTGACAAAGGGATCAATAACCATGACAGCATGAGGTCGGTGGTGGTGCCCAAGGCATGGGGCAGGACAATAGTAAAAACAATTTACAATAGCCCATCTAGTGTGGTCCATCTGTGCATTTCACTAAGAGGGGGCATTTCATTATTTAGGAGGATTACAGAAGCTTTGCATATCGGAGGCAGAAAAGGAGCGAAGCGTGTATAAAAGAGAATGCCCTTAAAATATCTGAAAACAGACTTTAAAGAGCAGCTTGTTTGTGTAGAAAGTATGAAGACAATAATGTACAACAGCTCCAACAAGATTAGACCTAATTCTGAACTGATGTTGCAGAACACTGGATTTAACCTATAGTAGGTTAGTTTTTGCAGCTATTGAATTACATAATCTGAAATGCTGAGTAAGATAGGCTACATCATTGTGAAGGAGTAAAGGTTAACCCCAGTGTCTTGCTGTAATGCGTCTGAAGTTCAGTTATAGTTTTACTCTTTATTAGGTGTTGACAAAAACATTTTCATGCACGAGGGTGCCAAAAACTCAGCTGTTGTTCTCCAAAATGAGCTCCAGATCCCACAAAGCGGAGAAGGCTCATCTCGTGCCAGTTAAAGAGTGTTAAATTTCACAACGAGCAGCTGCATCATGTCTGTGTACAGGTTACTCTACTTAATAATTAAATTACTTATAAATAATAAGCAAATAGATAACACTTGCACACTCCAAACTGTCTAATCACAGTGAAATCAATCAATATTTTATGAAAGAACATACTCGTGCACAGTTATCGGTGTATAACGTGACGTCACACAATCATCTAATTTGAATCAATTATATTGAATACCATTAGGAAAAACACAAGGGCACATTCAGATTGTAATACTGCAAACAGTAACTTCCTATGTAAACAAAAGAAGAAAAGAAAGGGGAAACTCACAATGGTTTCTCGGACTCGGTCGTGAAATAGTTGCTCTCTAACCGTCACGTCTTCTGTTTCCATGCTTTGAAACCATGTCTTGGCGTGTGCTCGGTTATAATTTGCAAAGCATTTGAGTCTCCGTGAAGATAATAGCTTGCGTGGAAACTTGTCTCAAGTCTCGAACGAACGCTTTCAACCTCTAAACGTATTCCAGTTGCTGCTATATAGTCACTAAGTCAGCGAACTACTCCTGATTTACTTCACTGAGGTGGATAGAAGCTTCTTAAATGATTATTCACCAGCGAACAACACACTAAACTCATCGAGTCAGCGTGTTCACAGATGCTCCTCAAATGACTCTTTCCAGTCGCTCTCAAACTCCATCTACTGGAGAGGCTGTGCTGTGGGAGGAGGAAGAGGCGGAATAAGACCATTGAAACTTGATCAATAATGAACATTTGCAGACCATTACATAAAATAATAGGCTTACAAAATGTTATAAAAATGTAATAGTTTCGTCGTGTTTGAGGATGATGTAGCCTAGGCCTAACAAAATATATGAAATTGTAAAAATATATGTATTTTTACAAAGTAGCATCAAAGTAGCATAATCAAAGTAGCATTAATATATTTTGAGCTGTTTTAATGGAACTTGCACTGACATAGCCTATCTTAAAATATGTCAGTGTTTTTTTTTTTGTCTCAATATGCACACCCGTAATGTTTTAAGGCATAAAATTAAGGCTCAAAATGTCCTAAATTAACTAAATTTGATCGTAATCCTTGACCCTAATCCTAGCTTAATGTTTAACAGCATTTACTTACAATTAATCGTAGGCCTTTACTTGCCCTATACTTTTGAATGTGTTTAAGGTTACAGTCTGAGCAGGGCTACTCTTGCAAAAAGACTTTAGTCCAATGCATTTTAGCAAATGTCTAATGTTCTGTGTCTTATTTGTGTCCACAGATGGTAAATCAAAGTTTACTCTTTATGAGCCCTGTCATCATCAAACCAAAGTCCATATAGCGCAAACACGGAAGTCCATAGGTTACATTATTTTCAGAAAGTGAATGATTTAAATATGAAGTTAACTTCAAAGCTGTGATCTATTGCATGCATTCTTACATTTTTAATGCTGACCTTGTTGTAGGATTCGTCTAAAACTATTTGATGTATGAATGAAGTTTGATCTCTCAGTCCCGCAGGTAAGAGAACAGTGACCTGTTTGATTTTATAACTTGAAACCCTATTGGTGATATAAAAGAGAGAGACAAGAGAGATAATCAAAACCATAATTCACCCCCAAAATGGCAATTCTGTCATTATTTGCTAACTGTCATGAATTCCAAACCTGTGTGAATTCATTTCTTCGGTGGAATACCAACCAAAATATGCTCTTCTCATTCAGTGGAAATAAATGCAGACCAAGGAATGTCAAGTTCCAAAAAGAAGAAAGTTACAAAAAAGCAATTATAAAATAAGTAATCACGATTTATATGCTATGTCTTACATAAAAGCTTTGAATTTTCATTTATAGGTGAACTATTCCTTTAAATACTGTATAAGGTCCACATGACATGCTTGTCAATTTATCATAAAGCACTTTTCATAATCATGTTATTGGCAAATCTGCTTTAATACACTAAAAAAAGGCTTTTTGATATTACTCAGTTTTTTAAGCCATGTCTTTAGAATTGATCGTAGTTTTAAACATTTTTAGTTGCACTTAATCAACTATGTTTTGTTATATCAGCTCAATTAGAGAGTAGATTTGATTTATTCAAGTCTGTCCTTTGGGGTATGGAAATTACATTCATGCTGTACATTTAAAAGTTACTGCCAGTCTTTGCCATACATCAAGATCATATTGAATTTATCGCTGATGAAAACGAGGCTGTGAGGGATAGACTTACCGTCTTTACAATGGCATGCACTGTGTAAAGGTCTTAGATCACATAATTCTCACAACTTCTAAACTTCTTTAATGGAGTTTTTGTCTATAGTGAAAGTTTTTTTCAGAAAGACATTTAGACAGCTGAACAATCTATTCTTTCTCTGAGCCTCGTTTTCTTTCCTGTCACAAATGAAGTATGGTGCTATCCTGACTAAGGTCTATTGTACATTGCTCACTGAGTAAAGCAACACTCATTATATTAATTCATGTAGCCCTTCAACTAATTCATATGTATGATGATAAAAAAACAAAAACAGAAACTCAAATATTGGACATTAAACATTAACAGGTATTTCCCTTTACTCAAAAACCCATAAATTAACAACATTTACTCTCCTGATCCAGCCATACAAAGCATCATGTGAACTAGTTTCAGTAAATTCAATGTATCCCCAACACAAATTAATTAAACATCAATTTGATATATTTAAGTGGATTGAACTATGAAATTAAGTTCAAATCAAATCATATTTTTTAGTGAATTTTTTCCCCTTAACATGTTGAAAATTACTTTTTCATGTTCCTGTGTGCAGCTAGAATGTCCTCATGGCTAAAAAGCTCCTGATCACATATGCCTTGTGGGCCATGGGTGGCCCACTTGGCCTTCATCACATTTACTTGGGCAGAGACAGCCATGCCCTTCTTTGGATACTGACCTTTGGTGGTTTTGGCATCGGCTGGGCAAGGGAGTTCTTCCGGATCCCATCGTATGTGGGTGAGGCCAACCATGAAGCAGAGAGAGAGCATGTTAGACATCCACGAGCCACTCCGCCACCACCAGTTGGCCTAATTCGGTTTGCCGGTCAAATTTGTGTTGGTATTTACTTTGGCTCGGTGGCTTTAATAAGCCTCAGTTCTCTTAGCTTCTTCTACTTCCTAGTGCTGCCATTGAGCATAGGTACTGGAGTGCATCTGGTGTCCTCTGTGGGCCAGCAGACCTCCGACCTTCAAAAGACCTTTATTACGTGCATCATCACGTCTTCCATCTTCTACGGTAGCAATCTCTCACCTCTGCCCATCAGCATAGCTGCAAGTGTTACCGCAGCACAGCACAGCACGTTCAAACCTCTGAGGAGCCACCCAGAGCCGCTGGGTGAGATGCACTATGTACACTTTGGTAACACTTTATATACAACAAGGTCTGATTTGTTATAGTTAAGGCATTTACTAACATTAACATTTCACCATACATTAAAATATTGTTTTTAATGGAATATTGCACTATAATTATTATAAATGATTTATCCGTACACATTATTTTCATTAAAATGCATGTTTTAAAAAAAATGTATTAGTAAATGTTGAGATTAACATGAGCTAGAACACTGTAGAATTATTGTTCATCGTCAGTTCATTTTAACTAATATATTTCACTAATGTTCAGAAATTAAACCTTATTGTATAGTGTTAGTCATCAGTATTTTATAAAGTAGTGGCCAAAAGTGATGTCTAGCCAGGAAAATGTACATATTCGCATTTTATTTAAATATTATTTATATATTTTTAAGATTTTGCAAGCATATTGCACAGTTCAACACATGCAAAAACAAAAGAGAACCAACAAAATATTAATAACTGATTATTTTGTATAGTCAATGTGTGCTTTTCTTTGTTCTGAAGTGATTTTTGTTTTTCTATGCATTTTATTGCATAGTAAAATAATATCTGTAGCTCGCCCTTTTTTGCAGAATAATTATAAAGTAATTTCTCTGACAAAATTATTTTCCAAAAAAGGCAAACTATACAGCTACCAATTTTAGTGTTTTTTTGTTTTTTTCAAAACAAATAAAAAAAATTTGATGGTTCAACTTGTAGTGTCATTAAAAACAAATATCCCCTCCGGTCATTACTTTTGGGAAATATGTGTCAATCTGATCTTACATCATGTGCAATCCATGTGTTTAATTAACCCGGTTTGTGTCCATCTTCCCAAGGGCCTCGTCTGTATCGTCTAAGTTTAGGTGTGCTGGCTTTCTCCGCTCCGCTGGGATACTGTGTTTTCCACAACACCACAGCCACATTGTACTACATATCGGACTGTGTAGCGGCCCTGCTTGATTTCTTCTGGTTCCTTCCATGGCTCAAAGGACTCCTGGAGTATTTTCTGCTGTTGCCATATCGTCTGTTATGTATCCTGACAGGAGGGGGTTTCTACGAAGAAAGCTGGAGGAAGATGCTGGAAATAATTCTTAATGAGTATACTAAAAAAGAAATGGAGGCGCTGAAGGTGAGTTCAGTACAGTTTTAAGTGGTCAACAGGGAATCTAACATTTATACTTTTCACTTTGTAGTGTTTTACATATAACCACAAGGTAATTGATGATGTTTTTGTCATTATAATGTTTTCTTACAATCAGATACTATCATTGCCAGAAGAAGCTTCTCTGGAAGAGGTCACTCGCAGCTACAGGGAACTGGCTAAAGTGTGGCATCCAGATCACAACCCTAATAAGCAATCAGAGGCACAACAGATGTTTATTCAGATCCAGGAGGCATATGAGATACTTCTCGACAGACACAAGACAAGAAAGAAAAAATAATCTTCTGAGGAAGAGGACTTTTACCCTTTAGAAGGCTCAGATTTAACTTTCACATGCCCAAGTTTCACGTGTAATAAACGTGAAACTATCTAAACAAATGAGTTTTTCACTTTTATTCAGAGAAATTCTCCTCCTAGGACAACTGAGGATTCTCTGCCATCTAGTGGTAACAGTATGAATGGAGTTGTTTTAAATACAGGGGTTTTCCACAGTGATTTGGCGACCCCTGAAGGGTATGTAGTGGTACTGCAGGCGGTCGAACAATTATTGTTTTTCAAACAATCGTTTTTGTAGAAAAAAATGTAAATATATTAAACAAAATGTATATACATTAATAGTTAATATACCATATTCAATTTCATTGTCACCCCACATTAAAATGCATTAAAATAAAATGAATGTAGGCTATATGACAAAGTATATTGTAAATAGTAGAGTCTTAGTATATGACTGTACATCAAAAGTATTGTGCAATGTACATTAACATGGTACTATGTTACTACAGGCCAGGCTTCAAATGCAACAGTCTAATACAGTAGGCCTATGTAAAATGGAGCTGGTCACTTTGCCACTTTGGAGTGGATATAAAACAGAATAAGAATAATGTAGGCCTCCTATAATAATAATAATAATAATAATCACAGTAATTATAATATTAATGGTTTTAAAATTTGGAATATCATAATGTATATTTTTTTACATAAACACATTATTTTTCCTAATTCATAGAAAATTGATTTTCTAACACATCCAAGAAAACCCCCACAAACAGAAGGAATTAGGCTAAATCTCTTACATATAGGAATGATAAATCTTAGTAAACACATACGTCACTTTTACTGATACTAATACATGATACATCGAAATAACAACCACATCAACACTAACAAAAATAATTATGATAATAAAATTTTTTTTTTTTTGGTTTTAGTAGCTTTTTGCAGGATTTTGTTTTTCTAACCTGTAGCAAGAGGATCGATGCATTCGATAATCCCTCCCAATCATGGATTTGAGAGGCAGTTTTTCGGTTATAGGTTATTCGGGCCTGTATCCCGGCATGGGCCCGGAAGTTGTTTGGGGTTTCAGGTAAAAGATCCCGGAGATGCTGCCTTCGCTAGAGAAAACAAACGGCGCTTCTGCTGTATAAATATTACAATCACAGTCGATCGTCAGGTAAGATAAAATACTCACGGTGCAAAATCAATGGCAGTTATTCAAGGAAAGTGACATTAGGCCAGGTAACTACGCTAGGATTGGGAGGGTTTACACGGCTAGACTCATCTGTCGAGTGCTGGGTGCCATAGCAACGCCAGCGGGCTCTCAGGAAACAGAATTCCGCTTTAGTTTGTCACGTCTAAAGATCGACTGTACTTCACGACCGGAGGCTGCCGATCGGATTGCGTTGTCAGCAACACTTGTTCTTTCGTTTGTGAGTTAGTTTAGTGACGTCTTTGACTTAATGTGAGCTGTCACGCCTCGTTAGCTGGTTAGCAGCGGTGGCTAGCTAGTGTTGCTCCAGACAGGCAGGATTGACATGATTCTGCGTGCTGTCAGTCCTCCTCTACAGCACGATGGTGTATGTAAAGTTACTAAACATACGAGAGCTCGTGTTTGCGTCGTCAGGCGTTGTTTTCTGGTGTGACTGCAGACTGGCAGGGCTGTTTCGATTATTGCGTTAATTAGACTCATTGACAGCTCTGTGAATTCATGAGATCTGCCTGTTGCAGCTGTGAATGCTTTCTGTCTCATACGACACAATGATGAGGTCTTAATTTTCTGAGGGCCTTTTTGTTATTATATCATGCAGTATTATGTATGCCATAAATCTGATATAATGTGTTTACATTTTTTTAAAAATTATTTTTAATCTGTGATCAATTTTGAGCCATATTATTAACCATGAAAATTCACAAATGATAAAATTATGATACCATAGGTCAGAAGTCATTCAGGAGTTTTTAATCCGGTTCCATCGTGTATTATAATGCTTAAACAAAATATTTTCAATTTAAATATTCGTGGATTAAAATTAGTTAAAATTAGTCAACGTTTCAAATTCATTAAACAAATTAATTTATTCTCATTTATGTTATGTTGATTAGGAAAGGTTGCAACGGTTGTTTTTGTTGTCGTTTGTGGTTTTTATTCGTCTTTAGCCCTAATATTTCCTATCATCTAGATTCTAGAACTATATGTGTGAGGGGGTAAACCTTAAACAATATCAAAGATTTTGGGGATAATTTGATTTTATATATGTCCAGAAAACATGCTGAAAGATGTAACTGGTTTTTCATTTGCTATTCAGATGTGACCACAGATGAGTCAAGTAGTTATTTGTATAAAAATGAATGATTTAATTTTAATACGTGTTGCATTTAAACCCTATTTCCAATACCAAAATGATAATATGTGGAAATTTCTGAGTAATAGCAAATCATAACAACCCCTGCATTTGGCTTAGTATCATCATTGCTTTAGATGTCAGCCTGTGTTCTGATAGGTCACAACAAGATAAAGGGAGGGCAGTTTCTTGCACACTGCGCTCTTCATTTAAGACCAGAATTCTATAGAATGGACACTCAATTCAGCTGTGGAGTTAGAAATGAGATCTTGACCAGTGTGTATATCAATTATTCAGCTACTTAAACCGTGCAACCACACAGGAAAGGGAGAAATAACAAACTGCAAGTGAACTAGCCAGTTTCTTTTTTCAGATGAGCCAAATATATATATATATATATGATTTAATTTTTTTTTTTATTGCACTGTATTATTGTAAAATGTTCCAATGCATATCTTTAAAAACTTGAAGAATGGTTTGGTTGGTTTTATGCTTTGTAAAACAAATATTTTTGTATGATTTTTTTGGTACAGGCAGCTGCTGTGATGATGAATGCTGACGATTGCAATGGCCGTTCGTACATGTCAGGTCAGGTATCTTTTCAAGTTCAAATTCTTTTGTTATTTTCATAGATATGAATGTAGCTAAATATAGTGGGTTCCAAATGTCAGTGACCACACTGAGATCTGGAACATTTATTATATATATCCAGATCCACTGCTGTGATCCCCATGAAAGAATCCAGTATATCTTAAACATATTTTATTGAATTGTGCTGGTTTAAATTCTCTTAGGAAAATTACTCAACAAACTCTTTTGAAGATATTTTTGACAGGATGAAGTCCAAAGTTTTTATCCAAATCAAAAAAAAAAAAAAACTTAATTAGGTCATTTTTAATTTAATTTTATTTTTCTGTATTTTTTTATTATTATATTTTAAACGCATTGAATAAAAAAATCCTGAGACTTTCTATTAAAAAAAAGAAATTCCAATGAAACTTTCACTCAAATTGTTCTGCCAATAATATAATTTCTAGTGGCATGAAATAAGAAAAAAAAGCCCCATTGTGCTTGTACATGTTTTCAGGTAGTGGAGATTCTTCAACAGAGCGGGAGTTTTTTGCAGGGCTGAGAGGTCCCACCGTGAGCACACCAAACAGTCAACAGTCCTCACCCAGCCGCTCACTCAGTGGTCAGTGTCTGTCCATTTTAACATCTTAGTTTGTTCTGCTTTAGGTAAAAGCATCTGCCAAGTGAATAAATGTATACCTTTATCTCTATGCCCAGCTAACTCCATCAAGGTGGAGCTCTACAGTGACGAGGAGGCAGGTGGTGCTCCACTGGCGGAAAGGAGAGTCGGGGAGAAGAATGAAGGATGGAAAGATGAAAAGGGCGAGTTGGCCGAAGATGGTGGAGTGGAGATGGTCGGAGGTACACGAGGACAGGCTGGGAGCGGCTGTGGAGAGATGGCCAGCTCTGAGCCCGCATCCCCCGGTCCCATTCGGCTGCCCAATGGGAAACTTAAATGTGATATATGTGGGATGATCTGCATTGGACCCAATGTCCTAATGGTGCACAAACGCAGCCATACAGGTAAGTGCTTCTTCACTGACCCTTGACAAAAAAAGACCAAATATATTTAAATAATGTCAGTTTGAAGATATGTGCTGCTGTTTTTTTGCGCCGGTGGGAAAACTGGTAGTCTTGGTCTCGGTAGGTGAGCGGCCATTCCAATGTAACCAGTGTGGGGCCTCCTTCACTCAGAAGGGCAACTTGCTGCGTCATATCAAGCTCCACTCTGGCGAAAAGCCCTTCAAATGTCCCTTTTGTAACTACGCCTGTCGCCGCCGTGACGCCCTGACAGGACACCTCCGCACCCACTCCGGTGAGCCTTTGTGGTTTGAGAGAGGCCATTTGCGAGAAATAAAGGCAAGGAAGGAGAGAGAACTTTGTGGCTGGAAAATAAATGGATGGAAAAGTGTGTGGGATGGAAAAAAAGCCATTTTGATTTGCCACAAAGCATAAATGAATAGTCAAGGTCACGTAACCTACTTCTTTTTTTTTAATGTAAGTGGTGATTATTTTTGCTGCCTAGAACTTCCTTTTAAACCTGTCGCTCTACAAGAGCTTATGCAAGCGGACTAATAAGTGTGAATAAGACATCATTGATCGGATATATAATCAAGTTTTTTAGTCAAACGAAATGCAGCGGTCTAGTGTGACATTTAGAGTATTATGAAAACAGGAAATCCTGCTCGTGTTTTTGAATGATGAAGAGCATTTACCTGTAGTGCCTAAGGTCCTTTGAATGAGAATGCAGATATTCAGAGAAATGAATTGATAGAATAATGAATTTCTCTGAAATGACGCACATCTCTAAAGCTAAATGGACAGATGTGGTCTGTAGTTTTTTCCTCTTCTGTTAACGTCATAGACGAGCAGCGTCATTTCGTTTTTGGGAAATTGTGACAAGGGAAATTCTGTGGTCTGACGAATCCTGTACCAGTAATTAGAGTATTCTAATGTAATTATATTGGAAATATTGCTATATTATAAATCACAATATATTAATATTTATGATATATAATATAAACTGCCTGGCCATAAAAGGATGCTGTTTAGATTTAAATAGGCAAGTACGTCTAATCATGATTGCAGTGATTATGTTTCCACCATGTTATATATTTGTCAACAGTTCTTCTGACCCTAATTGATGGAGTAGCTTTTCATTTCTTAAACAACCATGTAGGAAGACACATCATGGCCATATTCCAAGATGATAAAGTGACAAGATGTATCAGGCTCAAATTGTGAAAGAATGGTTGGGAGGGAGCATGAAGAATCATTTTCACACATGAATTGGCACCTCTGAGTCCAGACCTTAAATTCATTTGAAGACTTTGGGATGTGCTGGAGTAGACTACAGAGTGCTGGACACTCTTGCTTTGTCAATACACAATCTTTACCGAAAATATATCCATCTCTTAAATGCTGTGGTGTTATTTCCATCAATTAGGGTTAAAATAACTGTTGCCAAACATATAACATTGATCACGGCAATAATGATCCAATTATTGACTTTTAAGCAACTATATTTTTGGGCCAAGTAGTGTATTATTTAATAACTTTACAGGATAACACCTTAAATTAACCACAGCATCAATACTGTGTTAGTGATGTATGTTTACATAACACATAAGCTGTGTGAAATGCATTCATATTCTCCCTCCACGTTATTTCAGTGTCCTCCCCTACAGTAGGGAAGCCCTACAAGTGCAGTTACTGTGGCCGCAGCTACAAGCAGCAGAGCACCCTGGAGGAGCACCGTGAGCGCTGCCACAGCTACCTACAGAGTCTGGATCACCAGCCTGCTCATAACACCCAGCCTGCGCACGGTATTGCCATATTTACTTAAACAAATGCTTGGGAATTCAAAACTAGCAGTACTTTGGGTATCAAGTTGACACTAAAATAGATAATTTCGGTGTTTCTGCAGTACTAACTTAATTCATCCGCATTCTGCCTGACATGCGGCTGCTTTTGAAAGCTCACTGGTGTTGTTATGTGCATGCTCTGTGAAGATCACAGCTGGTGATGTAGCTGCACACTTGAACGGTCCAAAGCACTTCTTGATTCAAATATATGCCTTAGAGAGGTATTATTGTAAACACAGAGAATCTAAACAGGTGGTTATGTGTAAAAATATTACTGTGCTGTAGGCCTTGCAGTATGAGTTAAAATGTAACCTAATATAACTGCCGCAGTCTCTTATGTTGTTAATATGCTGTATTTTATTCTTAATTGAAATAACCTGCTGCTCAGTCAAACTCTGAGAGTATTGAACTAATAATCATATATTTAAGATATATCTTTATAAAATATATATCTAGTATAAAATACTTTCAGTTATTTATTTTACATTAGGCTACTTTTTAAACTCTTATTAATAGAAGTGTACACTGCCGTTCAAAAGTTTGCCGTAGGTACAGTTTTTAATTTTTTTTACAGCAAATAATTTTTACTCAGAAAAGACATTAAATTTATTGAAAGTGACAGTAAAGACATTTTTTATATTGTTACACAATTTCAAATAAATACTGCTCTCTTATTCATCAAAAATCCTGCAAATAATAATACACTGAAGACTGAATTAATGACCATCACAGGATTAAATTGTATATTAAAATTGAACCGTTATTTTACATTTTAATAGTATTTACTATATTTTTTTATCAAATAAATGCTTTTTCTTTCAAAAACTGACCACAAAACTTTCAAATGATAATTAATATAGTTTCAATACCATATTAAATGCTGTGGTTTCAAAATTGGTATGATATAGTCAAACACACACCATTCTATTATAATCATACTTCTGCGTGTGGATTATTTCAGGTGAAGAGTCCCATAATGTGGAGATGATGTCTGAACCACTGATCCAGTCCTCCTCAGAAAAGATGACCTTCATTGATCGGCTGGCCAATAGCATCACTAAGAGGAAGAGATCTACACCCCAGAAGTTTCTGGGTAGGTTCATTTCTTTGAATACCTATGGAGAACAGTGATAGCTGAGTTGTGAGCTGTGTGAACTGTATGCAGCGAGAAAGACTGGAGATTTTTCTAAAGTGATAAACATGCAAATTTGTAAGGTTCGTAAAAATTGAATCAGTCTGTTTAATGATTGGTTGTCAATATGACAACTTGTTGTTCAAGATATATACTAAAGGATTATTAGGAACACCATAATAATACTGTGTTTGACCCCCTTTCACCTTCAGAACTGCTTTATTTCTACGTGGCATTGATTCAACAAGGTGCTGAAAGCATTCTTTAGTAATGTTTGCACATATTGATAGGATAGCATCTTGCAGTTGATGGAGATTTGTGTGATGCACATCCAGGGCACGAAGCTCCCGTTCCACCACATCCCAAAGATGCTCTATTGGGTTGAGATCTGGTGACTGTAGGGGGCATTTTAGTACAGTGAACTCATTGTCATGTTCAAGAAACCAATTTGAAATGATTCGAGCTTTGTGACTTGGTGCATTATTCTGCTGGAAGTAGCCATCAGAGGATGGGTACATAGTGGCCATAAAGGGATAAACATGGTCAGAAACAATGCTCAGGTAGGCCGTGGCATTTAAACGATGACCAATTGGCACTAAGGGACCTAAAGTGTGCCAAGAAAACATCCCCCACACCATTACACCACCACCACCAACCTGCACAGTGGTAACCAGGCATGATGGATCCATGTTCTCATTCTGTTTATGCCAAATTCTGACTCTACCATCTGAATGTCTCAACAGAAATCGAGACTCATCAGACCAGGCAACATTTTTCCAGTCTTCAACAGTCCAATTTTGGTGAGCTCTTGCAAATTGTAGCCTCTTTTTCTTATTTGTAGTGGAGGTGATTGGTACCCCTTGTGGTCTTCTGCTGTTGTAGCCCATCCGCCTCAAGGTTGTGCGTGTTGTGGCTTCACAAATGCTTTGCTGCATACCTCGGTTGTAACGAGTGGTTATTTCAGTCAAAGTTGCTCTTCTAGCTTGAATCAGTCGGCCCATTCTCCTCTGACCTCTAGCATCAACAAGGCATTTTCGCCCACAGGACTGCCGCATACTGGATGTTTTTCCCTTTTCACACCATTCTTTGTAAACCATAGAAATGGTTGTGTGTGAAAATCCCAGTAACTGAGCAAATTGTGATATACTCAGACCGGCCCGTCTGGCACCAACAACCATGCCACGCTCAAAATTGCTTAAATCGCCTTTCTTTCCCATTCTGACATTCAGTTTGGAGTTCAGGAGATTGTCTTAATCAGGACCACAACCTGTAATGCATTGAAGCAACTGTCATGAGACTGGTGGATTAGATAATTGCATTAATGAGAAATTGAACAGGTGTTCCTAATAATCCTTCAGGTGAGTGTATAACTTATTATTCAAAAGTTTGGGGTCTGTACGTTTTCTTACAAATGTTTGTGAAAAAAGATGTTTTTTTGAAAAAAGATTGAAAAGTTACATGTTTTCTATTTTAAAATAGCTAAATAGGCGAAGCTGAATTTTCAGCATCATTACTCCAGTCTTCAGTATCACATGATCCTTCAGAAATCTTCTAATATGCTGATTTGGTGCTCAAGAAACCATTATAATTATTATTTTCAATGTTGAAAACAATTGAGTTTCTTTTTTTGTGGAATCTGTGATCCTTTTTTTTAAAGTCAGGATTCGCTGATGAACAAGGAAGTTCAAAATAACAGCATTTATTTGAAATAGAAGTCTCTTGTAACATTATAAATGTCTTGACCGTCACTTTTGATCAATGCAATGTTTAAACGTATTCCTTTATTTTAAAAGGACCAAACCTTTGAAAGGTAGTGTATGTTTTATTACTTTTTAAAATATTATATTTTAAATAATTCAAAAAATATTCTCAATTTGCAATTTGTTGAGTCTCAGAGTTTTGTTGCAATAAATTAGATTTAGAAATAGTATAGTAACAACAGTATTGGTTCTTGCGTAGATGCAAAAACAGAATAATCTAGTGATTACTAAAGATCAATGATTATGATGCTTCCTGGCTTTCTAGGTGAAAAGCACATGCGGCTGAATATATCCGAAGCACCTTATGAACTCGACCCCAATCCTGATAAAGAAGGGGACATGTTGCTGTCGCACCCCGAGGGTGACCCCGCTGCTTTAGCAGGCATGGGAGGGCGTTTCCTGCGGGGGCCGAGAGGAGGCAGCAACGATGTGGATCCTTCCCGGTCGCTGCGGATGCCCCCCCACTCCACCTGCATCTCAGAGTTCACCCCAGTCATCAGCTCCGTCTACCCTCATATAACCTCTCTAGGGCAGCGCCTAAACTGTGCTGGGGGCATCTCCATGGGCCTGGCCGGGAGGGAGGCCGGCGAGGGTCATGAAGATGCTCCTTCCACCCGCAGCCACGCCGCCTCACCGAGCAACGGTTACCAAGATTCGACAGACACTGAGAGCATGGCGGAGGAGCAGTGCGTCATCACCTCGGTGCCACCAGGAAACTTGAACCACCGTGGGCGCGAGCGGCACAGTCCTAGTCACGCCAAAGAAACGGACATGGAGGGGGACAGGGAGAAAGGGATCCCTGGGGGTTTACCCACCAAGGCAAGCCCACGCTCGCCGCTGACGAGGGAAGCCATGCAGGTGACGGACGGGGAAGGGCGGCCGGTGCGCTCCTTCCGCTGTGAGCATTGTCGCATTTTCTTCCTGGACCATGTCATGTTTACCATCCACATGGGCTGCCACGGCTTCCGCCAGCCCTTCGAGTGCAACATCTGCGGCCACCGCAGCCAGGACCGCTACGAGTTCTCCTCGCACATTGTCCGCGGGGAGCACCAGGTGGGCTGAGGTGGGCGGAGGTCAAGACTGGGGGGAGATGTACAGAGCGTTGTATGCTGCTTTGAGATGGCGTCATGGCGTCTAGTTCGGTCTGCACCAGATCGGGGCACATTAGCACTTGCTTTTATAATTGGCGGACATCAGATTTTACATCGAAGGCTAATCGCTTAGGTACGAGCATAAAACGTGCAATTGCATCCCGCGACAAGTCATATCCTCCGATTGCAAGTCATTCATCGCCAGAAGCAGCTGTTTTGCTTTAGAAGTGCCTTACTTCGGTGGGGTTTATTTTTTATCAGTTGGGAAGAGATTCGAGATGTGAGATTAGGTCTATACCCATCTGCTTGGTGGCGTTTACATAGAGTCTGCCTCTTGAAGAGAGAAAGACATGGAATTGCTTAGACGTCCAAAGTCTGGACTGGTTTATCCAGAGTGGTTTTCCAAAGTTTCTGAGCCTGTTAAACAAGAAATCTATGCCTAAGAGGATTCACACTAACTTTGTGCTCTTTTAGGATACCTCGGTGGGACTGTTGAAATTAGGCGACTCAGGGAGGACACTGCTGACAGAGAGGGAATGGAGAGCAAGCAGCGTGAATTGCAAAATTGAGGCTGGAGTAATGGTATGTTAGCCATATAAGGAGCACAGACACATATTGCCTTAATCGTTGCTTTATATGAACCCTGTACGAGTTAGTTTTAGAATTGCACATGGTTTTTAATGCTGGACCATTCCGTTGGTACAATGCAGCCTGAATTCGGGTAACTTTGAAACAAAGATGATACGTCACTCTTGGGTCATATAGGATTGGGGTTAGGCTAAGGCTCGGATAATTTTATTGCTTTCTAAAATGTATGTTAATGTTTTATTTTAGAAAGGAAATGAACTTGAAACATTTGCCTTAGTTTTTGAGTCCACAACCTCTGTCCGGAAGGAAAAAAAAAAAGTTGGTTTCCTTGTGCCTCAGATCTTGATTGTCGTTTCAACTTTATCTCAACCTCACTTAAGTGGCGATAAAGATTTTGCCTATCAAATCTATTGAGGTTTTTTAAAATAGTTTTTGTAGTACGAAGTCCCCGCCATCCATCCTCTGCCATGCTGCGAACACATTGAGCCACATTATGTTTTTTAGATGCGAAAAAGAAGCCTTAATATTCTGGTGCAGACCAAACACAGACCTATGTTGCATTCCGTGAATTTGATGACTTGTGAAGGGGGAGGGTTGTTACCTCAAAAGGAGGATTGCACTTTTTCTAATTCTGCTTAAATGTGAGTGTTTTTGCTGGGGCTGTTGGGAGGGTTTCGGAGAGACGGGGCGGCACCGGGCGGGAGGGGGATTTTATTCAAAGGCTTTAGGGGAGCAGACACAGTAATGATTGGTAACTGAGCTTTGAAACATATTCTTTTGTTTTCTGAAATTGCTCTATTGCACTGATTTCTGATAAAAAAATGCTATTTAGAGAAAACAAGAAACAATTTGATACGAGAACACATTGGTTATAAAGACCAGATGAACAGTGTGGTGTTTTTAAAAACGATTCTATAAAGGCTATTTTCCTAATTATAAAAGGGTTCACGGTCATTTAAGGATTCAGAGCTGAACATTTTCTCCTTGTGTTGTAAAATTTGGTGCTTGGATATTTGTGTGACTTCTGCCCTTGATATTGGACTTGTATCCTGTACGCTTGTCCTGTGTGGTCATGTCCCTGATGAGTTCACGCATACGGTACTCTCGATCCCCACCGAGTACAAACTGCTGCTTGAATTTGAAGGAAAGGACTGAAATATTGTTGTAGAGTTACGTACCGTCCTGCCAAGATATATTGTGGCCTGTTTTATCAGCGGATCTCACTTGCACAAACTGAAACGAAACTAAAGCACCAATGAGAGAATTTTGGAGAACCTCAAAGAGTTGTTTTGTTTGATTGCTTGTACATCTTTATGTGACGTGGGCTGTGGTTAAGGGTACTTGGATGTTGTAGCATGTGTTTGTCACTTGACCTTGGAGGTGGTCAGCTGTTTCCAAAACTTGCTTATGTGTAATCCACTGACCCTACATCTTTTCAGTTACTTTTACAACATTTGTAGGCCTCTTAATACGTATGCTTGGATTCACTCCAGTGCAAGCCTACAGAGTACAGTATGAATGGATCGAAGAAGTGAAAGCCAGTATTTACAAAGGTGCACCCTTCATAGACTTTAATATTTTTGTTTTTCTGCTGGCATAAATTTATTTACTTGAAATTATGGCAAAAACCATATATGACACTTAATGCACTTATCGGTCAAAAAGAAATTATGTAATGAATTCTACCGAGTGTGTGAATGAGAGAGTTTGCATGTGTACTCGTTTGTTTGCTGGGGTTCTGCAACTGTTCTGCTTGTGAAATACTAGCTGCAATTTTCCCTATTTCCTCTAAACCAAACCAGGCTCTTTTCTGCACCATTTCATATTTCTTATCCCCAAGGTGTGATGAACTCAATATTTTTAAATGAACTGTGAAGCAACCATAATGAGCAGCAACTGAGAAAGAGAGACCTAGCATTTTGGGGAGGCAGGGATCAAACTCTCGGTCATTCTTGGGCTTTATCCCTGGGTTCAATGTTTTTAAATATTTTGTGAGAAAAAAAAATGTATATGACAAAGAAAAACTCTTTACCTCAAATTTGTTAAAATATAAAAAACTGCCTCATGTTCTATAAAAAGGTGTGTTGGTTTCAAGAGGTATTGTTTATTTGATCTTGTTTTTAAAGAGTGTAACCCAACTTTAAGTTGAAGTAATTTTTCATGTCCAATAAAGTAATATTTGTTGTAACTTCTGTCTGCTTACAACTCTAAACACTTGTTCTCTAGTTTCCCTAATTCATGTCGTCTTGATCAAGTCAACAAATAATAGGTCTATGAATCGTTTCCCTACAGGTTCAATATGTGGTCAAGGTGGACATCTATAGTGACTGCTCACCATCTTTAACTGCATTTTTTTTATATTTTTGTAGTGCAGTATGACAGATGAGTTTGAAAAAACAAATATTCTATGTTCTCTAAATTATTAAGAACAATTTTTTAAGTATAGCATGTAATATAAATGATTTAAAGCATTTTTTCTCAATTCAGCTTACTTGTGCAGTATTAATATTTTGAATTACATTTATATCTTTAGTTTTCACAAATTTTTTTATTAATATTCAGTTTTTACTTATTTGTATTTTTTACTTTTAGGAATTGTATCGGTTTAGATTTATTAGTTCGTTTTTTTTTTACGATAATGCAGTTTCATTTATTTTGTAAAAATATTGTAAGACTTTTCTTACATTGAGCAACATATTTTACAGCATTTATTAATCTATTTAAAATACAATTTTTCATGATAGTTCACAGAACATTCATTAATGTTAACAGATACATTTGATTTTAAATTGGTTAGTAAATGTTAAAATTATCATTTTAGATTAATAAATCCTGTAGAAGTATTGTTAACTAATGAACCAAGGTTTTCCTATTGACAATGTTTTGTTTTTCACCATTTTTGCCTTAAATGTAAAAACAAGGTCTATTTAAAATGACTAACATCAAGCAGATTTATTTCCCCCCAAATGACCTCTCAGAATACAACCTCAAGAAAAACCTACTTGTACACAGAGGACAAAAACATTTACTATTTTTGATTAAACAAAGACAAGAGAGCATTTTAGGTTTAGTCATCTTTATTTCTTTACAGAAACATGTATCCTATATCTCCAGATCACATTGGTTTTGGAGGGGGACGTGGAGGACCACCCTGAAAGAGAGAAAAATCAGAAAACTTACTGTATTTATCAGCATTATTGACAAAATAGTCAAAGCAACAAATAAATATTTATGCATGTAATAGCTATTAAGCACAATTAGTATGCCTATGCTCTAATTTAAAATAGATATGGATGCATCACTTACAGCGGGCCTGAAGCGTGGAGGAGGGGTACGGTCCTTCCTGGCCTCACGAGAACGGTTCCTCACCACTTTGCTGTGGATGGCACAGCTGACACAGTAGTGCAGCTTCACATACAGTTTGGGCAAAACGTAGGCTGTAGAAGGACAAAAACAAGTTTGATAAATGTTTTAACAAGTCTGTTAGTTCACCTCCCTAAGAAGCCCAGTATCTTACTCACAGTCAAACACACTGGCTTCAGAGATGTCCCTTACAGCCGCAGCCTCCACAATATTTCTGATGACAAACTTCTTGATGGCTTTGTCTTTGGGCACACACCGGGCACAGTTTGTGCAGCGGATGGGCTGGACATGCCCACGTCCCTTCTTAGCACGACCGTTATTCCTCCTCTTCTTAGTCTAGGAGATGAAGAAATAAAAGTTAATACTGGTTTGCAAATGACAACCTTGAAATCATAATCTGTTAATGCACATTTACAAAACATTTAGTTTTTTTAGTTAAAATGTAATTGGTGGGTTTGCACTTGATACTGTATATACAATTTAACAATTCTGATGGGTTTTGTAATGTGTATCTGATTTTTATAACGTCTGTACACCTAAAGTGCAACCAGGCACAGTAACATTTAAATAAAATAGACTTTGCTGTAATTTGTGGAGGAGAATAGATAAATCAATCCAAACTAAGATGCCAAGAAACAGTATTAAGGAATTTCTTAAAACACAAATAGCTATTAACGGGGGTAACGTTAGATAAAAGGCTGTAATGCGTGTTTAGTGGACATGCGTGATACTTCAGGCGTAGTATAGTTAATGAGTTATTATGGTCAAAAGCTATGGAAAAACTGAGTGGTGTTTGGTTGTATATGGAGAGATATTACTCCGAAATGTGAAACGAATGAGAAAACGCACTTGTCGTAAAAATAAATGGATAAAAGACGGTGCTGTGTCTGAACGATTGGTAAACTCACCATCTTGATTTGGAGAAGCGTGAGAAAGGACCGGAAATACTATTACGTCATTTATATAGTGCGCGCAGCAGCCGGACGTCTTTGGGTAATATAATAAAAGTCATTGTTAATTTTAAAATAGTTTAACATTGTTTTCTTTATTATTTAAGTAGACAAAAACTTAAGTAGACAAATGATTGTAAAAATTGAGTGCCTTACCCTGTGTTTTCAGAAATGTTATGTAGTATATTTTACCCGTGATATTTGCAGATATCTAACGTTACGTATAAAGACAGACGGACTTCAACGTAAATTGGTGCCATTTTGTGGTTTACAGCCGCAAAATAACCGGACTGAAAGAACAATACAGAGTTGATTTATTATCTTTTTGGTAATTCCAAACAATGCAAAGTAGAAATTTATGTGCATGCGATTGTGGCCCATTAAGACTGCCACTAGATGTCAGTAAAGGCTTTGTTAAAGCTCAGAGAACCAAGTCTCAACTTAAAGGGATAGTTCACCTAAAAATGAAAATTCTATCATCGTTTAAATGTCTTTTGTCAATGCTCAGAATTAGCCCGTGCAGATAAACCTCTTAATAGCTAAACTAGTAGACAATCACCGAAAATTGAGAGATACCAAATGTAGAAGTTTAAGAATCAGTGTTTGAAACACTTATATTGATTGACCTCTAATATAAATGGACTGGTCCTTCTCAGTGTCTATGTCATCATTGCCCAGTTCACAGTGGATTTCTATATGAACACGTTAGCTGTCTAAAATGCCAGTCATCGAAAATCAAACCACACCTCTGTACCAGTGTTGTCATTTTTAGGTGGATTTCTGAGATTATGGACAATGATTGACATTTGGCTGATGCCCTCTGGTTTGCCTCTGGAAGTGATTACAGAGTTGGGTTGTGGAGTGGAGCTCTGGTGGTAAGGGTGGGGGGAAAGAGGGAGGTGTTCTTATGCAAGCAGCCCTCAGCATGCATGTGCAGTCTGGAAGAGTGAATGTGTACTTTCTGCATTTGACTGTCCCTCGTGTCACTGCACTTTAGGGAGCTGTCGCCAAGTCTTTTTTACAAGGTCGCTGATGGGGATTGAAAGTATAAAACCAGGGCCCACCTAAGCAAAGGTGCATTCAATCAAATATACTCCCTCTCATTTTACTTTGACCATGTAATATGCCATTTAAGATATTCATTTCGGTGCTGGGACTTGAGGGAAAGTTTGCTGTGGCTATAATATTTGCATTGGTAAATTGAATTTGAGAATGGAAAGTGCATGTCAGTGTGTGTGTGTGCAGAAGCTGAATAGTGTTCATGAGACAGAGAAAAATGGAGAGATGGTGACACAGGAATGTGTCAGTGTTCGTGTAACCACTATGCCTTTAAACTGCAGCAATTAAACATTCCTCCATTCATTTGTCAGAGCTGAACACTTGCCCACTGTTGCTGTAAAAACATAGGCAATAATTAAATCCAAAAACCCAATACTTTTCCCTTTGTCTTAAACAACATTTTTCTTCCAGTGTATTGCATTTCGACAATGTATACCATTCATATCTTTTTTTTTTTACCACCAAGACTTGATAGTATGGAAGTGTGCGAGACACTGCAAATTACAATATATCATTTGCATCCACACAGGCAGCTTTTGTGATGGCCATGCTGGAGGATTGTTAGCAATATATAATCTAGTTAAAACTTATGTCGCTGTTTGGGATACTTGATTCTGATTGGTCAATAGTGCCATCCAGCGGTCATATATTTCCAAAAATGTATCATCGTCTGTGCAACACTGTATCAAACTTGTCGGCTAACTGAAATTTTTTTATTTTTATTTAGTTATTTTTTTGTCTCCTGTATTACACTATGTATTCTTGTTTTACAAAAATGCATCTGTTGCTGATTTTTGTGAAAAATACCTCAGAGGACTTTATTAATATTGCTTTAATATTCATCCAGTGTTTGTCTTGTTGCTAGGCAATTGTTTTGTATTTTATAATGTGCTTTTTTTGATTAGCTTTTTTATTATTAAATATATCATTTATGTCTATATATTTTTGTTAACTAACAACAGTGCAAACAATTTTGGACCTATTGACTTTCATTCTATGGACAAAAAAAAAGGTTACACTTTATTTCGATAGTCACTTTAGATGTTCTACTAATTATAAGTAACTTTTCAACTACATGTCAACTAACTCTCATTAGAGTATTAGTATATTATAGTAGACTGTGTTAGTAGACTGTTAGGTTATGGTTAGGTGTTAGGCTTTGGGTTAGGAGAATAAGTTTACTTGTAGTCGCCAAGTTACTTATAGTCAGTTGAATGTCTGTTGGGGGACCAACAAAATTAAAGTGTTAGCAGATATTAAGCTGACAGTCTACTAATACTCTAATGACAGTTAGTTGACATGTAGTTGAAAAGTTACTTATAGTTAGTAGAATGTCTAAAGTGGACTATCGAAATAAAGTGTTACCAAAAAAAAATGTATTTCGTATTCTGAAGAAAAAAGTTATGCTAGTTTGAATCAGGGCACATAACTAATGAGGGAATCTTAATTTTGGGGTGAACTGCCACTTTAATACTTTTTTGCTCCTGAGCCAACAGTAACAATTCGCTTTTTACAGCCATCAAAAAATTATGGCACCATTATATTTGAGCTTTATCTCTGTCATCATGTGGTTGCAGAAAGTGATTTAGCCTGGCTGAAAAACAGGCCTACTGAGAACTGCCCGTCGCCTCAATAGACTAAATCAAGAGGTCATGGTCCATTAGTGAGGGGGGTCGATATTGCCACCTAAATCATTATTACAGCAGGCCTGTTCGCCCACACACACGCCAACGTACACTTGCACAGACATACAGATATTATCATGCAGACTTGTACATTACACAGGCAGATTCCACTCACACATTGCTCAGCATAGCTAATAGTTTACACTACCCACTCTCATTCCACAGACACATCCTCAGGAAATAGGTAGATTTAAGATTGTCACAGCTCCTATTTCTGTAGATATAGACTACTCATACACTAAATAATGCTCTCTCTCTCTTTGACCTTTCATGTCAATATCATACCCTCAGCTCTGTTAAAAGCAATGTTATGTGTCTCAACCTCTTGATTTGTGCAGTTTCTTTCATATGCGTAACTATTTTGTACTGAAACAGGAGGTTTGGACAGACATATCAAAGATCTTAGTTACGTCACAGGCATTAAACATGATTTTCTATTTCTACTGCATTCAGAAGCAGGTGATATTTAGGGATGGGGAAATGTGCATGTGACCCAGAGTGCAAGATAAGTAATCAATATTTGTTTGTTTTTTCTAGAAGAGCGGGAATGTACATTTTAAATGTGTATATACATTAATTTCATCGATATTAATGAGTCCACTAGCTTAGAACTGGCTTCCGGCTATAAATGGACCCCTGCACATGATATGCAGGGAAAAAAGCGAATTAAGAATTTGTTCCCACTACTTAATAATGTGTTCCCTTGTATTAGGTAAATCTTGACCACGTTGAATTAATTAATTTCCTTGTCTTACAATAAATCATTGAATTCTGAACTCTTAATCGTGGATAAATGACATACACAGGGTTCCATAGATATAGACTAAACGCCACAAATCTCTTTGTAGATATTTAATGTGTTTTTTTCCACAGTGTTCAGTGTCGTTTTGGACCCCATTTTTCAAGAAATCCTCTTCTGTATTCCACAGAAGGAGGAAAGTCATACAGGTTTGAAGCGACATGAGGGCAAGTAAATGACGACACAATTTTCGCTTTGAGGTGAACTATCCCTTTAAATGAAAGTTGTGCCCATATGAATCAAATCAAATGATCTATTAGATCAGTGATCATACATCTAATTGCATTATGATTTCTAAACAATGATGCCAACTAATGCCCCTGTCATCTTTAACATTTCTCCTCCTCAAGGAGCAGTTGCAAGGCAGAGTACGAGCGTATATGATGGAGATGTTACAAGACTAGAGCCTTTGTGATGTAAGATGGCAGTTTCTCTGGAGCCACCATCTGCTGAGAGGGTCAGGCAGCATGTAGGGTTCAAATCTCCTGGATTCTGCCTGCTTCCCAGCTGCCATGCCCAGGCACTCCGAGATCCGAGACACACAACCACACTTACACACCTCGCAATTATCACACACACCCGTAGACGCGCATAATCCCAGGCATGCTGCGCTGCCGAAACCATTCTCATCAGGGCTGACACTAAAGAATGTTGGGATTCTTGTCTTGAGGTACCAGTGTTTTTTCCTCCCTCTTTGGGTTTGTGCAAAATCCACACATTCTGTTGAACCCATGCGCCCACACTGCATCAGCCCTGCATGTGACCACTGCTCCACTGTGCTCTATTCAGCACGGTGACTCGAACTTTGCTCACATTCCATATACTTTCTTTGGTCCATTTTGCCCGTCCGCCTGTTCCTCAACCCTTTGAATAGGCCCTGGGCTTATAGAGGGAAAACAATCTCCCAGAATTTTTGGGATCAAGAAGCTGCTTGCCACGTTTTTTTTATAATGTACCTGTTTGCCGTACTGTTCCTTTGAGTGTAAAGTGACTCTTTTCTTTCCTCGAATGGAAAGTAGTCATTCTACAACAACATCGCTTAGCCAAACTCTTACTCAGTCCAACCCAGTGAGGTTTTGTTTTGGATTTTTATCAAGTGATTTAATTTTTTGCCATTATTCTATTAGCTTCAAACCACGACTGGAAGGTTAAGTTTCTCAAAGTTCTTCGGAGACTCTCAAGGGCCCTTATTGAATTAAAACTTTATTGCTCAGTTTTGGAAAAAGAGCAGAGCGCTTCAATTAAGGAAAACGGCAATTCATAAACCCTCTCGACCATGTTACTAAATAGAGATGTACAGTGTTAAAGACTTTTCAGCTTGCGGTTTTGGATCTATCGCAATCTGCGACTCAGAATTTGTGCTTTTTGACTCGTCGTTTGGACATGTCCATCACGCTCCTTATTGGCGTTGAAAGCTAAATGCATTTATTTTTTTCTTGTGTTTCGAGATGGCTCCCTTTCCCAGCCTCCCTCCCTGCTTGCCGCCTGGCAGGCCCGTGTGTCAAAGGTGGCTGCTGCAAAACAGACTGTGGGAACAGCCGGTCAGCCTCCCCTGTCCCCTATTCCCTAACCAGAGGGGCAGCCATCAATCCAAGCCTGCTCGAACCCCTCCCGGCGCACACATCTCCGCAACCCACACACTCGCTCCCCAATAATCCGCGGAAGCAATTTCATCTCGACTCGGGTGGCGGCCCATTGTCGCCAACTCCTTCAATCTTTCCTAATTAACTCTCGCTTTGTCCCGCATCCGAGCTTCTGGACTCATCTCTGCGACATTCCGATCGGGGCCGGTCTTCACACTCCCGGGCAACCCTCGAACCCTAATCCCAGCGCACCCCTCCCTCTCGAGTAACTCTTTCCATTTTTTTCTTTCCCCCAACCTGCCGATCACCTACTTACAGAGTTAGGTAGGGGCATTAACTCCTTGGGTTTTTTGAAAGAAGAGGACGAAGGAGGGGGCGAGGAGGAGATGGCCAGAAAGCGACTCCAACCCAGACAATTAGAACAATGGGTCGGGCCTGTAGGAGGCTAACTCGCAGCGTCACGCCTGGACGGTGGGGTATTTTGTCGGTTTAATGAATTGTCCGTCAGTCCCTGGCTGCATCACAGGCCGTGTAGAGAGTGGACAGCAGGGACCCAGACACTAAGTCGGTATTTATTACACTGCCTTTGTCACTAATTGAGCTAATTATCAGTGACTCTTCAGCACTCCCACAATGACAGTAGCCCTCAACCCTCCGCCTCCCTCATCCCACCAGTGCCTGGGAATGCAGCCTGACTTTGCTTCTTTATCCCCTTTTTTTTATCCTTCTCTCCTTATTCTCACTATACTGTTTTTATTAATGCTTCGTATTGTTTCATTATTTTGCCTTATAATGCACATGCATGTATACAGAAACTTCCTGTAAAGTCAAAGATCAGTTTAATTTATTATTTCTATTTTGTTTAGTATTATTTACCGTTTAGGGAAGCTTTTTAGTTATATATATTTCGGGTGTTTGGGTTTATTGAGACTTGAATTTAAACAGGAAGTGAAAGGACGGTGATCGAGCTGAGATTCAAACTCAGATCGTCGGAGGCGTTACTGTGAAATATGTGCAGCCCACAAGGTTACTGCTTTCAATGAAAAAGTTTGTATAATGTGCATTGTTTTTGTCTCGTATAGACTATTTCAAAAGATGTAAACAACACTGGTCCAGAAGCACTTCCTGTTTAAGTTTTTTAACACTACAAAAAAGCTGGGATAAAATACAACCAACAGAACATTTAAAACTGAATCAAAAAGTTAAACAAACATCTTTAAGATGTTTTCTTTACATGTGAAATAAAGAAAACAGTTACGAACTGAAACAGGAAGTGCTTCTGGACCAGTGTTGTTTACATCTTGTGAAATGGTCTATAACTACACCACCAGTCAAAAGTTTGGACTAATCCAGATTTAAAAAATAAAATAAAAAATTGTGCTCACAAAGGCTGCATTTATTTGATAAAAATACAGTAAAATAGTAATATTGAGAAATATTACTGTAATTTTAAATATCAGTATATGTTCTATTTGTATATATATATATATATATATATATATATATAATATTTTTTTTTTAATTTAAATTAGTCCTGTGATTGTAAAGCTGAATTACAGTCTTCAGTGCCACATGATTCTTCAGAAATCATTATGCTAATTTAATGCTCAGTTTTTCATGTTGAAAACTATGCAACTTAATATTTTTGCGTTTAATGAACATGGTGCGTTTTCCAGGAAAACAGCATTAAAAAAACAGCATTTATTTTTAAATAGAAATCTTTTGTAAAATGATAAATGTCTTTGTCACTTTTGATCAATTCACTGCATCCTTTTGGAATAAAAGTATGAAAGAGTCTTATATAAAAGAGTCTTACTTACCTCAAACTGAGTGGTAGTGTATCACTGGTGTATCACAAAAATATATCACAGCAGGACTGTTTTCAACACTGATAAGAAGAAATATTTCTTTCAGCAAATCAGCATATTAGAATGATTTCTGAAGGATAATGTGGCACTGAAAATTCAGCTTAGCCATCACAGGAATAAATTGCATTTTAAAATAGGCAACATCACAGTAGAAAACAGTTAATTTAACATGTAACAATATTTCACAATATTACTGTTTTTACTGTATTTTTTATCAAACAAATGCAGTCTTGGTGATCATAAAAGACTTTCAAAAACGTTTCAAAATGTGTATTTTAATATCATTAAAAAACTTTTGACCAGTAATAAAAATATTGTATAGAAGTTCAACATTTGAATTTGAGCTATATTTTAATCTGTTTATATTTATTATAACTCAGTTTTTTCCTTATCTTTCTATCAGTTATCTGTGAGCTTTCTCTTTTATCCTGTCAGCATTCCAGATCCTATTTCTCCTCTCATCCTCTCCCATCGCGGTGTGTCCTGGGATGCGGATATGACGACTACAGCGGTGCAGCACTCCGTCTGGATGACCTTCAGTGGCCCTGCGATATGTTGCGGTGGGTGAGAGAAAGAATCGTCTGCCTTCATCCAAACTCTTGTGGTCGCGCTGGCCTCGGCAGCAGGGCGGGGGCAATGCAACCTGTCATTATTTCTAATACTATTTCTTTATTTTGTTTCTGATATTAAGTAAGTGAAGCAAAACCGCTAGTGTTTTGAAAACATACAGATTTAACGCTGTGTTACACCACTGCCCAAATTCCCTCAGCGGTTATTGTGGATTTGGGTGCATAACTGTTCGAAGAAGAGGGCTGGTCTTGTGCTGTTGGTGGTGGGAATGATGTTTAGAGGAACGGATATACTTTGCACACTCACATTGTTGATTTTAGGTTAAGTGCTTTAGACATACACTGTCATACCAGGTTGTGGTTCTGAGAAATGATTGATGGATGGATCATAAACTAAACTGAGGAGAATATTCTGAGCAGTGTAAGGAAATGAGGGGTTCTCTGAAAACACACGTAATGAAAATATAAACTTTATTGTGCTATTACTCTATATGAAAACAACTTTTCTAAACTTAACTAAAATATTTCATTTTAGCGTTTTTTTTCTAACAAAAAAGCCATCATACAATAATAAATACTTTTCATTCACAATATTAAAAGATGGTGTTCAGTGCATGTAAAACACAAGTGTCAAGAGACGAGCAAATCAGGCATTTGACAAAGTAATCATGTCTCTGAGATGTATGTGGCCTCGTTTTTGGCCATCCATTTGTGATCATTTGTATAAGTTAGCACACAAGTGGATGGAATTACTCATATAATTGTAAATAATAATAGTGTAGTCACCCCACTTTCAGATTAAGTCATTTTCTCACATTGCAAGTTGCAGCATAAATATATAGATCATATCTATTTATAATATTTACAACATTTTGGTTATGTTAGCTGATATACAAAATACAGTTTCCATAATTGTGGCTCTTTCAAAAACATAAATGTGAACTGTTTGTCCACTGTAAACTAGGTAGTAGGGCATTTACAGGATTATCTTTACACACTTTTTAAAACTAGTAGGCTATGTACTTGTGCGTAATCGATAGTGTCTTTGACAACTTCTAACAGAAGTCTTCTTCTGTAATAGTAAACATGCTTCTGTCAAAGCTGAATCGACGAGTCAATCTCAGGTCAATCTTAATTTTTCTCTTCCCAATACTTTTCCATCAGTACAATAACATGGTATACCACATAATAATAAATGGTATTAAAAAATGGCAGGAGACTCAAAGCAATGACGGGAAGTATGGCAGGTCCGAATGGGAAATCACGAGAGGTTGGGCCGAGTTCGGGATTCCGCTACATAGCAATCGGAAAAGGAAGCCCCATCCCTTGAGAAGCACTTCACACAGTTTTATGTGAGACGAGTAGGACTGCAGCTAAAGAAAACAAAACGCGAAAATATTTTAAAGAACCGCCCTCTTGTTAGAATTTTGCACTGGTTTATGAGAGAGCATGCTTGTGGTTCGCTAACCACAGGAACATCTGTCAAACTGTGTCCAGTTACTACTTTCTAGCTTCTATGTTCCCCAGAGTACCAGAGATGGAGATCAGGAGAGGAAAAGACAAGCTAGAACCTCAGGACTGGTGGTTCAGCGCCCTAAATTTTAAACGGCGCCTACACGAACGATTTTTCCTGCTCATAGTTGCGCAGTGTGTAGTGCTTCTCGACCCATTTGTTACGATTTGAAGCCCTATGCTGTAGTAACATCACCAAAATATTGCTATTCAAGACCTACCATCAGCTATGAGTTCTGTTCATGAACTTTTGAACTGTTCTCAGTAGTTAATACATTGAATATATTCAACCAACAGATTGTGTTTAGTCCCTTTTAACCTTGCGATCCTGTCTCTTTTTCATTCTTTTTCAGTATTTATTCATTCCTAAATAACCTCCAGATACCCCAACGGCCCCTTTTTTTTACCCAGCTTGGGACCCTTTGTCTCTAGTTTCTCAGTTTGTTGTGTTTGTTCATCATAGACACTGATGGACAGTCTGTGTACTGGTGCAGTTGAGGCAGCTCACGTGACAACACCAGTGGAAAGTACAGTGGCATCTCTCTGTGACCTGCTCCGTTCGAGTCTTGTATCCCCTGCCACAACACAGCAGCTCGCACCCATCCAGCGCCGGCGAGGAACTGTTGCAGGTACGTCCTGATGTCCCATGCGTGCCTGTTTTGCCATTGTAGGAACAGAAGTTGGGCGACTTTTCAAAGTAGACCAGGTCCCGAACCGAAGGGAGCTTATGTGCTGGATTCTCCGGTTCCAGGTGGCGGGGGTCGGCTCGATGGGATGCACGATTGCTGCCTTTGTTGCCGTACACGACTCGGGATGCGCCATCGAAACGGTCCTTTAGAAAGTCTCCCACTACGCGGATGCTGGGCAGTCTCATCCAGCACGTTCGCACAGTGCAAGATCCAGACATCCCATGGCACTTGCACTCTTGTTGCATTTCTGACGCGACTGTCTGTGGGGAGAGGAGAGAAAATGAATGAATCTGTTGAAAACAAGAACAACTGCAAATATTGTAATAAATTATACATTTACATTGAAATTCTGAACATTTTGAACTGATAAAACTTATTTTAGTAGCTTTCCATCTGTACTTTGGGAAAATCCATTTATTTCTGACATACTGGTAATCAAACGGCCTCTGAGAGTTGAGTGTTTAAGGGGTCTCTTACCATTCTTCCTGCTTCGTTGTTGTGCAGGTTGGTCAAATACCGTAGATCTCTGCCCTTCTCACTGGAATCCACAAACTCTCGTCCGAACATCCTGCCAAATTCCACATTATCGCTGCAGCCTCCCCAGTGCCAGTCTGGCCCTCCAGGACCCCGGCGCCGGTAGTCGCAGGTGCAGGACTCAATGGCTCCCTCAGAGCAGGACCGAGCCACAGCGTGAGTAACACCAGCACTTGTGATGGCAAACACAAATGCAGTCTCACGGCAACCTAACAAAACAATAAGCACAACTTACAATCTCTGTCAAGCTGCGTCTCCTTCCAGATAATATGTTTAATTATATATTGTCATATTTCACACTATGAGATATGAATAGTGCACATTGTTCTAAGAAGCCATGCTCACCTCGGTTGACAATTTTGCCAAAGACGTTGGGGCTGTGGGTGGTCGGACAGTTCCAGCGCCTGTTACGAAACTGCCATTTGCATTCCTTGATGGCTGTATGCAGGCCTGCTGCAATGGCGTGCAAGATGCCAGGGTTTTGCCGGATCAGTTTTCTCTGACGACGACTTAACAATGCCAAGCTTGGGTCCAGCACCAACTGTACATTCTTAGAGTTGGTGAGGAGATTGCCTGAGGATGCCACATTCACAATACCCCTGGTGGAGAAATCGAAAAATTTACTTTGTTAATTTGGAAAAAGGTCATTTTTCATCTAAATGGACTGAAATGCTAAAACTTTGTAAGTTAAGTGTCTTGGGGCTTTAGACCGCATTTTATTATAATATTCTCATTTATTCTGTATGTTTGCCTTTTTGGTTTGTGATATATAGCCTATACGTATTTATATAATAATAATCAAATTAATTAGAATATAAAATAATATATACACTTTTAATTATATAGATAAATGAAGGAAGAAGAAAGAAGAACTTCATCCTTTGTAGTGTATCAATCAGCGCTTATCATTTTTAATTCCCCTTTGACCCCTATGCCATATACGTAGAGCTTTAAGTCTTTGGCTCATGTCGTGTCTAGATTTAACCTACTCTGGAACGCTCAGCACATTACACGAATTCGACCCTGAAAACGACCTGGAAAGGAACTGCTCCCAGCCATAAAATAAATCCACATTTAATTTATCCCACATTGGATTGAAAAAACTTGTCCCGTGTTCAAGCCACACTGTCAAAATGACAGAGAGAAACCGAGTGAGGGAGAGAGAGAGAGCGCGCGCGCGCGCGCAAGCAGTGGCTCTGTGTAAACAGGCTGAGAATGCATTCATTAGTTTGGAAAATAGTTGACTTGTAATATATTAATAATATATAATATACTTATAATATTAATAAAATGTTTTTTATTTAGCTATATGAAAAAAACAACAAAAAAAACAATGAAGCTCCGCATATGTCCTTTGCATGCTAACAGTGTTTCACTTCAAACAACGGAATGACTTTATAAATATTTAGCTTGTCTAATATCGTTGTTGTTTAATTTGGGCTTACTACTGTCTCATGCATAAGCATCTATACTTATTTATTTATCATAGACATTGTGTACCAGCCAAAAGATAAAGAACACTAAAGCACTAATATTCATTCTAGTACATAATATACAAATATATCACATCACATGACACTAAATGTCATAGTAGCTATAAAGGCCTGCTGTATCTTACCACCACCGGCCGCTGTTGTTGACCGCCCCTGTGCCAGTGAGAGAGGAGACCAGGAGGACACATGCCGCTTTGACTGCGAGAAGCAACGCGAGGACCCGCATGATATCTGAAAGGGCAAAGTTAACCAATTAACCTCAAATGACATTCCTGCAATAATAAACGATGTCAGTCTGTGTTATGTCTTTCTATATTAGAGGAGCTGGTGAGCATCTTAAGAATTATGAAAAATGAATAGAAATAGCAAAATAATTCGTTTAGTGCAATGAAATTATGATATTTATGTTTTATTTGAGCCTTTTAGCGCATGGTGAATTTTATTATAGCCTTTAGAAGTACGCTTTTGTTTATATATGTGTTTGAAGTTTTACACGAATATCAAAATAATGTCAGGATTCTACTAAAATAGTCTATACAGTTATAAAGAAAAAAAAACTTAAAAGGTTTAGAGCCAACATAGTCCAAATACCATAAATTACTTTTTTGTATAATACTTTCGAACACAAATTTGGAACTAATATGCTAAAGAACCCACCATCAAGAACGTTTTAGTCTCCAAAGAACCAGCAACACACGAAACCCTATACTGTCCAAAATGATTTGTGGTGCCATAAAGAACCTTTTTTGACATTCTAAAATTAAATAATGATGATAAATAAATAAATAAACAAGCAATTTGGTTGCATTACGCATCCACTTACCACTCCACATTCCAGTGCGACTGTCAGCGCGGGTCAATGTTTATTCATAAAATCAGTGTAGAAGTCACAGAAAGGGTTCTGGATGGGATGCCAGTGCAACTGCTGCTGCTGCTCTTACAGTCTGTGTGTTAGTGATGCTCTGCTCACAGCACTGAGCGCGTGGGACAGTCCCGAAGACCTGATCCCCTCGGTGACTGATAGGCGACACATTGTTCACTTATTGAACGCTACAAGATGAATAAAAAAGGGATTTGCTGCTCTCATCTCCCTCTGTTTTTTTTTCCTCCCTCCTTTTGAGTGGAACTGAATGGACGGATAGCTTAATTCTTCTCATTGGGCACAATGAATACAGGAGGCAAAACCCGACATAAAGGAGAGGAGATGAAGAAAAGATCCGTTATAGGCGCTTTAAATTACATATCATTTTGTAATCCTCGTCCAGAAATTCCTCAGATACATTCAAGCGAAATCATAATAAAATACAGTTCCTTCAGCCGTCTTCAATATATGCAGAGATGATTTATTCCTTCTCATTGCAGTGAGTGCGCGCGCGCGCGCCATTTGTCTTCGGTTCCTTCTGCGAGGATGGTGTCTCGACACGGTTACTGTAAGAAGGGAATAAAAAACATCTAAACTGGCTTTTTTTTAACCCGGGGTGCATGCATGCATTACTCCCTTAACTGCGTCTCCTCCCTCTTTGCGCGTAAAAAGTGTTTTTATAGATGTCCATGCTTGCGCTCTGCACTCACCCATTTGTGCACGTTTAGCCTGAATAAGGCACATCTAGTGGAAACGTCATGCTATGATTATGGTAAAAAATCTGGGCTAAATGAAAAGGAGAATTTTAAAGACATGGGGCAGTGCTAATGCTGGCTTAGTTTGCAGTTTAAAGGAGGATTGACCGAAGAGTGTAATAATTTTTTTGTTTTAAAGAACTACTTTTTTGTGTTGCGTCTCAAATTGTTATATATTTACTTATGCCTATATAGGCTTATTTTTGTCCGCTACAAATTAAATGGGTTAGATATCTACAATGTCTCACTAAATTAACGTGAACTTCAATGAGGTATGTTGGGTTGTAACGATACATTGATCAACAGTAATAGAAAACGTGGACATTTTAAATTGTGCATTTATCTATTATGGTTATCAAATGTTTTTGTTCAAAATAATTATTCCATCACTACCCCATCCTCATTTCATTTGAATTATTTAATTCATGGCAAATATTTTATAAAACCTCAAATTTAATTGTAGTATATCTTTAATTGTTTCCAGAGTCTACGACTTCTATAGTAATTTAACCCCATGCAAACTCATTTCTAATTGGTTACACTGATGGTGTTTCAACTTGTGTTACAACACTCCCACTCCCCATCTAATAGGCCATTCTTCGTCGTTTGCGACATCGAATAAAAAAGAAATTGTTACAGATAGATAACTCAACACATCTGAGTTTACAGTGTGACACCACTGGAGAATAGTCATGATAAAATTGTTCACCATCTGGACTGCAGACCTCCCTAGATCGCATATGGTCACTAAAGGCACGAATCAAATGTCAGTTTTGACTGCATACATTTATGGTATGCTATCGACCATGATAGCACAAAGAATTATGATCAAATGGAAAATAGTAAATCAACGTGTTTTAAGCATTAAAGGTGTTTGATGTCGCCATGAAAGAATCTGGGAGAAAGAGTGCACACTTTTTTCTCTGAGGGATTGAAGTAAATGGCTAACTGAAGGAAGTGCGCTTTTGTTAGTGGTATTTAATGAGGGCTGCTTTTCTGGGCTTAGCCTGCTCTTATACTCTTGAAGGATCTTAAACAGGTTTTCCTGAAACACTCATGCGATGCGGCGCAGATTAGCGGCAATCCGGTTAAAGGGACGCCTTTTATATACAAATCAACTTCAAATCACTTTTTAAGCCACTTAGATATACACGCCATGGCAAAATGCTAATGCACTTTTCATTGCCAGAGCTTAAGAAGAGGAATAGAGGTGATTAGCTCCAATACAAGAATTGATCTTCCAGAATAGGTGATTAGCCCAAAACCAAGAACTGTTGTCAGGATTCTGTGTTAAGTATGGTTAAGGGTGGATTTAACTCAATTTCATGACATTAATCCCAATTATACTACTGTTAATAATATTAATAAAGATAAGACGCAAGATGCTCCTATAGGGTCAGTTAAAGAGGTTTTTTCTTTCTTTCACCTGCTGCGCAATGTGCATAGCTGACCACCAACACGATAATCCCTTAATCTTGTAAACTGCTAATGCCTTAAAAATTCTGGTTTATTCATATATTCAGTGTTCAAGTCTTCTATCATATCATGTCTCAACTAGAGAAAAAAAAATAAAAACACTGACAGCTTGTAGGCCTATATTGAACAAACTTATTATGTGCATTATGCATAATTTGTTGGCCCACTATGTAATTGCGCATCCCTTTCAATGAGTCTTGACAAAAACCTCTCCATCATGGTCAGTTATGGGACTAATTATACGCACAAACTCAGACGTGTATAGACAAACAAACGAAATAAGTCTATTTTCCAGTAGTGCTCTAGGCTATCTCCGGCAGAAACATGCAGTCAGCAAAGCCTTCTCATTAAGAGTGTCGGGGAAAATGATGAATGTGGGCCTAATTAAAGTGAAACGTCACTATAGGGCTGCACGGTGAACTGTTGAACTGATTCGGAGAGGGAGGATGGGCGGACACATGAACGCGCACACGCACCTCGCATTGTTCGAGAAGAGTCGCACGCCTGCCTGCTGCTGCCCTGCTCATTGTAGCCTAAATGAATGACTTTTAGTTTAGTTTAGCTTATAGTTGACATACATGTGTACGGGGGAGCAAAATGTCTTTTCACAAGTTCTGCAGTAGTGCAGGTCAGATAATAGGCCTAACTTGCACTGTAAACAAAACGAAATAGACAGCGGACAAGATAGGCTACACAACAGCCTGGAAATGGTAACACTTGACAACAAGTTCTAGAGGTGTAACAGCGATGCATAGAGTTAAACACTAGAGGCGTACACCATCAATTTTACTCGATTTAATGAGTTTGCATAGTTTCAACTCAAATAGGCCTAGGCCTATATTCATCATTAATTTAGGCTAATTTAGCCATAAAAAACGGAAATAGGGTAAATGTATTGCAGATTGTCATTTGACACCAAATTAATGTTAGCTTATACCCTACTTCGAATTTAAAGCTGCAATTAAACATTTTATGTATTTTTTTAATTGAAATAGTTATAAATGTTTTTTTGTGTATTTGCTTTGACTAGCCTACTTGTATAATACTTTTCAATTTAATTAGGTGCGGTTCGAGAATGCCATTCGGCTACAACACTTTAGGACACCGCTAATCACTCACACAGGTAGGCTAAAGCAAATTATTATGTGTTGTTGGCATTCATTTCTTTTTACATAGCAGCCATTTATTTTCAAATGATCAACAAGGAACGTGTTAGCCATTGCCCAAAACAAAGATGACAATAAATTCGCCGTTTAGATCGTAAAACAATTTTGAATAAATGTAATGGCACAAATAGCCACATAGGCTATACAAAATTATAATGTAGCCTAGCCTATTTTATGTTTTTGTTGTGTAAAAAGTAAATAAATACAATCAATTAAAAAATAGGCTGATGTAGCCTATGGAATGGTTGTAAAAAAAAAAAAAAGGATGGTAAAAATAGATCTATAGGCTACCATTGAAAAATAGGCTACCATTGAGAACACTTGATACCAAATCAGATTTAAATAAAGTCAATGTTGTCAATATTGCTTCCATTATTTGAAGCAGTGTTGGACTAGGCTAGCCTATGAAAACAACCAATAGTAGCCTAATTGAGTTATTCATAGCCAGATTTATGCTCATTCAGCATGAATAATATTGGTAGCGATCACATCACATGCAGTTTCAGTAATAGGCAATGGAGAATTTGACAGGCTTCGCTACTTTTGAATCGTGTTTTAAAACAAGCGCCTCGGGCGATGTTTGCCCACCCCGACGGCGCCCCCTCCTCCTCAGTGACACACACGCTCCAGTCCCAAGCTTCATCAAATGCTGCTTGCTCAACTCCGCTCCTCGCACAAACAATTGAAGTCATTTCCAGTTCGCATATAAAGCGATCCCACAGGTGTTTTAATGTCCCGTCGAGAAAAGCGTTCAGCGCAATGGAGTTACCTCACAGACAGTGTTTGGGACGAGTCCTGATTGTGACTGCTGCGCTTCTGTCACCTGCGTTCACGTAAGTAGAAAGGTAGAACCCTTTCATGGGATCTGCTGGAGTAAATCGTCTGTTTGTTTAGGAAAGTCGGGGATTCAAAAACATGATTATGTACAATAGCCCTAAATTGTCATTTGCATGATTATTAGCTATTAGGCTATTTAATAAAATATTGCAGGCTCTATCTAAAATAGTAACCCCTTAGTAAAAAACTACTTATAATTTAAACGAAATATCTATTTTAATGTAACTTTGGTAATACTTTGTTTTACACTGTCATTGTTACACGTTACATGCGTTTCTAAAGTAATTCATAAATTATGCATAATTACATGCAACTAATAGGCTACCAACCCTAGTAGCCTACATGTAGTTAATTAATATGACTTTATTATTACACTGTAACAAGGACACCTTCAAATAATTTTTAATAAGTTTTTAATAATATTTTAGTATTTGTTTTTCCAAGTAGGCTATATCATTTTCAAGTCAATAAAAGGCTACTGATTTATTTACATAGTAGCCTACTTACTCTTTTGCTACTAGACAAGTGACTCCTCCATTGTTACTGGTAACAAATTGCACATGCTTGCTTGGCATTGAATAAATGGGATCTGGAGTTCATATACTAACTAGCATGTATTCCAACTGTTGCTGGTACCTGTTTCACTTTTTTTTAAAGTAACAATTCATTTTGGTTTTCCTACTAATTGAATAGACACAATTCTGGTAATTGTTACCAGAAAGAGTTTTAATTTTACTGCAAGTGTGAAACTTATGTAAGCTCTCTCTCTTTTCTCAAAACTGTCAGTGGGCATAATGTATTTATTAACATCAGTGTGCTATGATTTGGATATAATACTTCCCACAAATCTTTTCCATATAGTCATTTTCTCATCAGATTATCCTCAGGCATGCCAAGACACTGATAGAAACCAGGGTGTTTGAATATTCATAGATGTTTTATGTATGCCTCTTGCAAGGTCACAGCCTTGTTTGAGTGTCAGGTCACTTGAGCACACAAGTGTTTCCAACTGCTGAATCTCTAGAATTTGTCACTTTTTTCTTTGCCACATTTACAATGTTCCAGAAAGGCATGTATTGATCATATTATTTGAAATGAATATGGCACCATAAAAACATCCATTCCTTTTATAATATTTTCCTGCGTCTCACTAATGACTGAATTCATTGTCATAATTTCTTCACATATGTGAGTCATTTAAAAAAGACCACATGTGATGCTAAGTAACACCAGCTTTCTGCAATATTTACTGCATGCGGTGTTACTTCATAATGATATCACTGCTATAAAATTAATCTTCTCCTTTCTCAGGGTACTGGGCAATGACATCCTCGGCCTGAAGGTGGCAGGAGAGCCAGTGCTTACCCCCAACGCAGTGTGTTTACGACTGGCTGGCCTGACCAAAAAACAGATGCGTCTGTGTGTGCGCAGCCCTGATGTCACAGCCTCTGCTCTGCAGGGCATTCAGGTTGCTATTCACGAATGCCAACACCAGCTCAGAGACCAGCGCTGGAACTGCTCCTCCTTGGAGAACCATGGCAAGTTGCCCCATCAGAGTGCCATTCTCAACAGGGGTGAGTGGATGGCAAAAGGGGCATGGGAAGTGCTGAAGTTGAAGTTGTAGAGAGAGCCAATACAGTCATAATCCGGGCATTGAAATGCTACAAATGCCAGAGAGGCAAATATCAGCGTTGAGTCATTGTTTAACGCATTTGCGCCATGGAAAACATCTTTTATGAGATTTTAGATCAAGATTATTGTAGATAATTATATCACCAGCTGGCTTGTGCGCACTTCACTTTCTGAAGGCTCTGTTTACTCTCTTTTACTCTTTTTACTTAGCTTTATTTGCTGTGTAAAGGCCCATTCACACTAAGGACCATAACTATAAAGATAAAGTTTTAAAAATCGTTCTAAATTTAATAGTGGGCACACCACAACTATAACGGCACAGTGGAACGATTTAATTGGAATCGCTTTTCACAATGGTGAACAATTAAAAAAAAACTTTAAAATTAAAGAGGCAGTCGACCAAACTGCAGCACAGCTTAGTCAGGTTAGACACCATATTGACATTGGCTGCGTCCAAAACAAAATCGCATACTATCTGGAGTAGGTACTTATTTTGAATAAGTAATTACTTCATGGCTGCTAAAAAAGTATGTTCTATGTAATATACGTGTGTGGAGTGTATGAATGTAATCTGAACATACTACATTCACCATGCTGTCATTATCATGTGACCTCTCAGTGTCATGTGACCTCTCAGTGCCATTCATAAATCCTCTCCCCTGGCCTCATGGGAGAGTAAAGTGTCCATTGAATCTTCGCTTCAGAATCTCCCCGGAAGTAGTAGGTCATCCGGGTAATTTTTGCCTCCTTTTTTAAGAGTACAGTAAATTCAGACATACTTCTTTTATCACATACTGTTTTTCGCCTACTATATGGATGCTATTTCAGACACAGCCTCAGTCTTTACAGTGGCACACACAGTTTATAGGTCGTAGATCACATAATTTTCACAATTCACAACTTGTAAAACTCTTTATGTTTTTTTTTTAAAGATGTTTTAATCCACATGTTGTTAAACAACACCACGGTCCATTGAACGCACTGTAACTCTATCCCTCTAAGCCTCATTTTAATTCCTGTCAAAAATGAATGTGGTGCTATACCCTGACTAAGGTCTATAAACAGCATGTTATCGTCCATTAATGTGTAGGCTAATATAGTTGTCTTATTGTCCTTGGTGTGAACGGCCCTTAAAAGTGCTCTCTTTCATCCCAGGTTTCCGAGAGAGCGCCTTCTCGCTTTCGCTGCTGGCTGCAGGTGTCATGCACTCGGTGGCTTCGGCCTGCAGCCTCGGTAAGTTGCGCGGGTGTGGTTGCGAGGCTAAACGTCACCTGGACGATGACAAAATCCGTCTCAAGTTAACCCAGCTCCAACTTCAGACTTTTCAGAAGAGTGGAGTGTCCATAGCAGGTGCAGGAGAGAACACACCCGAGTTCGGTTCACTCCACGACAGTCTGCCGGCCAACCTGCGCTCGTCCCACCCCGTCAGTCTCCTCAAACCCTTACCAGATGAGGTCACAACGTTACAGGATACCTGGGAGTGGGGAGGCTGTAGTCACGATGTTCGTGTTGGCGTACGGTTCTCTAGGGATTGGTTGGATTCCAGAGGATCTCCTCGTGATATACACGCTCGAATGCGGATTCATAATAATAGAGTGGGCAGACAGGTGTGGTTTTATACGTTCAAATCTAATAATCATTTCTAATAATCTGTATTGCATTATATGGTCTTGCAAACAATGACAACTGTGTCCTAAATGGGTTGGGATTGAGTTTTGGTTTGGGATTGTGGGTTTTTTAATGTATCCAAAAACACATGCAAATGCAATTTATACATCTAGGGCATTGAATACACCTAATACATGCATATTTCTAATTATATTTTTAATGTTTTTAATTTCTGAATTTAAATGTAACTTTTTTGTAGGGACATGAAGTAAAAATTTTCCCCAAAAACATAATTATTTTTATAAAATTAATCATTTGATAATATTTGTTATATATATATATATATATATATATATATACATTTTTGAAAATGTTTTCAAGATGTAAGAAAAAAGTATTTTTATGGTTGCGCTAGACTTTAAGAGTAATTACATTTTTTCAATAAAAATATAAAAAGCAACGTGGGTACTTTTTTAAGAACTTGGTGTATGTGTCACTAGATTTTTAATTGATAGATCTTGTTTTAAATGACCGTCTCAAACATTTTTTCTTATTGTTGACACTATCACTAGTACTTGTCAAATTGCTTGTTGGATCACTTATTCCTGGTTAGGACATGGTGTTCAGCATTTGATGACTAACTTCAAAATACACATATACTATATTATTTTTATTATGTCTTTGACCTTAACAGGTAGTTACTGACAACATGAGAAGAAAGTGCAAGTGCCATGGCACATCAGGCAGCTGCCAGTTCAAGACCTGCTGGTATGTTTCTCCTGAATTCCGGCTGGTGGGGTCACTGCTACGGGAGAAATTTATGACTGCCATCTTCATAAACTCTCAGAACAAGAACAACGGGGTATTCAACTCTCGAACTGGTGTGAGCACCGGCTCAGATCAGCTCAGAGGCCGGCGACGCAGCATCTCGCGCGAGTTAGTGTTCTTCGAGAAGTCCCCTGACTTCTGCGACCACGAGCCCGAGGTGGATTCGCTGGGGACGCAGGGTCGCGTCTGCAACAAGAGCAGCTCGAGCATGGACGGCTGCGGGTCGCTGTGCTGCGGCCGCGGACACAACATCCTCAAACAGGCACGCAGTGAGCGGTGTCACTGCCGCTTCCACTGGTGCTGCTACGTGCTCTGTGAGGAGTGCAGAGTTTCGGAGTGGGTTAATGTGTGCAAGTGAATGACTCACCTTGGTCCATATCTCCATTTCCTTGTTTTTGGACCGGGAGGCAACAACCTGTACCCTGCCATACCGAATGTGTGTCTGTTTATCCATTTCTCTCCTTCTTTTAACCTCCATCATCTGGGATCCATTTGCGTTGTGTTGCTGTTGTTATTCTCAAAATGCCAAGTCAGAGATTGAGGAGGAGGTGACTCATGTCATTTATCTTTTTTTTCCTCACTTGGAATCTTCAGCCTCCAGACCCATGCAAAAGGCCCAAACGCCATCTGCACTTCTCCAAATAACAAGGCACAACAGCAGGAACAAATTATTCCTGCAAATATAGGCACTGCTACGATCTACCTTTTTTTTTTTTTTACTCAAAAGTGCACTTAATGTATATTCCTTACTTTGGCAAAATGTTTGAGAAGTTTATGTTGTAATCATTTACGATGGTGAAAAAAACGTCTGAGTTGGGTTGAGGTTTCAAAACACTGTATCTTGCAGCGTTATGATCTTTGCCCACGTTAATCATGAAGAATCAATGGCTATGGTAATTCAATGGAACATTTCAGTGCCATTTCATAAGATGTTATAGAGAAACTTTCCCAAGTCTGGAGCAAATCTTGGAAATCGACAGAGAATGTGCCTTTGCGTAGGGGTCTGAGTTTGGTTGGTTTTTATGAAAACCAGGACAATTGTGAAGTTGATATGCTGTGTAACCCCATCCTAACCTTTATAGAGACAGACCAATCAGAAAACGGAGATGGATAGAGTGAAGGAACGACTGGAGAACACTTGTGCCTCCCGTGGATTTTTTGCAGCTGATTAAAAACAGTCACATCTCATCTCATACTGCTGAACAATATTGGATGCCAGATGCCTTTGATGCAAGAATGGAAGTCCATACTCTAAAGTCCTGTGTATTTAAAGCTACACTGTGTGATTTTTACCCCCATCTTGCTGTGAAAAGCTATATGACCATCCAGTGAATATTAGTTTCTGTTCCTCTCAATTCCGATTTCGTTTTAACTCCTACGGTGGCCAATGTAGTCCAAGATTAACATGGCTTCCAGTTCGACCTCCCATAATTGTTAACTCAAACATAAACGCGAAAGGCGAAGCTTGAATTAACGGGTACGTCCCTCTTTGGCTAATGTACTTTCAAGATGGAGGGGCAACATGGCGACCGACATTAGAACCCCTTACCCGTATGTATTTTCAATGGCATATTATACACTCACAAGAATACTTTATTACTTGAACGAAGTAAATATACATGAATGAGCACATATATTTTTGAAAGAACTAAGTGTTTTTAGCTAAGAATAAACTAAAAGAGTTACACAGTGTAGCTTTAAACAGTTGCCATTGCAATAGTATTACAGTGAAATTGATGTATACAGTCTTAAAACTTTCAATTTGATTAAGGGATGCTTAGGAAATCAAATTAATTATATGGAAAAATTAACTTTCATATTTTGCCGCCTTTTTGCATTTTTAAGGAGTGTAGAGAATTTATTGTTGTAATAATGTTAAGAAAGCCTCAATTTTAATGTTAAGAAACCTTTTTTTGGTTTATTGTGTGTGTATAATCACTCTGGTTTTAGAACCATGAAAGACCCTCTAGAACAGAAGAGGGGTCATATATCTCCGTTTTAGATATAATTATTCTCTTCTGTAGATTTTTTTCTAACTGAATCTGACCTCTCATAATGGACAACAGGGATAGGCTTTCATAAGAGTTCTAGAAGCAGATTAAGGCATGAACATGTCTTACAGGGATCAGCTGTCCAAAGTTGTGCCATGTGCTGCTGAGTACTGTTTGTCCTTGTCTGTGAATCTGCATCTGCAGCCATCAGAGACTGGACCACTGTGATTTCCTAACTAAACACAGGCCCACTTCTGATGTCTACACTCTGTCTGAGTTCTGTGATTGCACAACAATCACAAACGTCTTAGGAATAAAAGAGTTTTTTTCTGTATGATTCTTCCTCACAAGACTCTCTAATGAGGATGCGATTGAGTGAGGTGACCACCTACGGTCTGCTGGCTTTATCGAACTCGCTTCTTGCGGTATTTCCTCTAGCAATAAACGATGGGAGTGAAAGAGAACTGGAGAAAGAGTGGTGTGGAATGATAAAGCACTAGATATCTGGTTTGTATTTCTTTATTCCTTTATCATTTCACCCTGGAGCTGCTGCAAGAGGGAATTTCCTGTCGCTGTTTCTCCCATGTGTGAGACAGAGAAATTGGACGGCCATAGACAACCCCCCCAACACCTCCCCCTATAATGCAGTGCAGCCAATAACACATATAAAGCAACATACTGACAGCATCAAGAATAATGACAACCAGACTGCCACAGTTAAGACAAAAGGGCATTGAACTATAATGTTGGGTCATATGAAATATTTCAGTTAGTTACCATATGTATAAACGGACAGACGGATCATGGATAGATAGATGGATGGATGGATGGATGGATCGATAGATAGATAGATAGATAGATAGATAGATAGATAGATAGATAGATAGATAGATAGATAGATAGATAGATAGAATCTATCATTCTAATAAAACGATATTGGTAGATGCGGAAATGGAAATATGTGAATATATACTAGGGTACATCAAAAGAGAAGGAAAAGGGAAAACAGCTGGAAACATCTGCTTCTGGGCTCCTTGTCCAGCTACCCTTTCCATTTTGATGTGGGATAGAGAGAAAAAGAGAAAGGGAAAGAAAAAACAAGGAGCCAGTTACCCAGAACATCAAAGCCTTTTCCTAAATGTGCAAGCCCTCATTAGTTCTGCAAGCCTAACCAACCCGACTTATGATTGTGTTTGCTGGGGTGCACTTTGGCAAACACTTCAGAGGAGAGGCTCCTTTAAATTATAACTCACCCCCCCCCCCCCACCCAAGCCCAGCTTTCCTGCCCACTGTAGCCTCTTCTGCCCACCCCATAACCCCCAAAACTCCCAGTGCACACAAACACAGCACTCCCCCCCATACAGCACTCCACCCTATAATCTGGTGTGCAGCTGCAAGCATCTGCTCCACTCCCTCTCTCTTTTCCTAACCACTGAATTGATAAACACATCGATCATAAACCCACTGACACACGGTGGACCAAGTTTCCTTTTCATCTGGACAAGGTCTGGCCTGGGCAGGCACTGTGTGCACTATTACGGTTAAGAAATATATATGAGAAGGCATTTTAAACAAGTTGATTGATGTACAAGAAGCACAACGCAGTAACAAGTCTTAGACCCATTAAGATTTTTTCATATCATAAAGCTATTACTGTATATGATCTTTACTCTCTAAAGAGTCATATTTTGCTTCACTGCTGATAATCTGGCATGCAACCTCTAAGTAAGTAACTACTGAGTTGGCAGCCTGAGGAAATCAGTTACTGCCAAGTTCTGTAATTTGGCAGCAGCTAGTTGGTTACTTATTCATTAGGTTCAGTCATAGCTGAATAATTAATCACAATATGGAAATGTGCATCCACACATTTGCTGCAACAGATCCTTCAGTTGTAAATTATCACATAATACACATTTCTGGAGGAAACATGATAAAAATGCACAACTTCACCTGCCAACTTAACCAGATAAACAATATTTCCACTTTAAAATGATTTAGAGATCATCAGAATGTTCTTTACTCACATGCATAATTAAATTTGATTTATTATCTTTTTTGTATCAAACTTATGACATATTCATTTCTTAAAACCACCTGTCTTAAACCAACTCAACGCTTAAGATATATATTGTTAAACTTAACTTGCGAGGCTATAATTGTTATATATTGTTAAACTTGATATATATTGTTAAAATTTGACATATATATATATATATATATATATATATATATATATATATATATGGCACCTTTTTTATTTATTAAGTTTCACAACCGTGTCCTCTTTACCGGTAGGCTATATATTTATGAAGTAGGCTAGCCTATATGTGTAAAAAATCAAAGCATGAAAAATCTGCTTTCATCCAGCAGGTCCATCTTCTTTAAAATGTCATTTTTCAATTACACAGAAAACATGTCGCACTGAAGATGTTAGTGAACTTAGTGAGTTTTCTAATCACATTTTAATGAAATGTGCTTGTATTTTGTCACAAGCATTGTTGGCTATATTAACAAATTATTTAACAAAGTTAGACTACTCATAGACTACTTATAATTTTTCTCTGCTCATTTGTAGAGATCTTACATCCTTGTTCGTTCATATAAATCACAGACAGTAGACCACCTCTTGCAGGAGTTTCATTCATTGACATTTTGAATGCACATACCAGGATGCGCCTCAATGATATCGCGAGATATCATCCAACACACTCATGATCACTCCGCTGATATCGCGAGACTGGAGTGACTTGCGTGAAATTATCCGGTGTCGGTCTCCGAGGTGAGTAAGGATGCTGGAAAACGTGAAAAAATAAGCTATAATTTCGTCTAAATTGCGGTAGACATTGCTGGCGAAATGGTAGGCTATATGTTACATTTAATTTACATTAAATAGGCTAACGTTACCTAAGTAATTTATGATTTGTCAATACGCAGGCCGGCTTTTGCTGCGTGAAAAAAATAAAAGCTGTTTAAACAGTATAATGCCTTATGTGACATGCGCTGGTTAACCATAAGAAGAAATTTCTGTTTTGTAAATGATAGTATGACACGATGGAATTTTGAGCATCTTATGCGTAGCCGATTCATCAGTAGCTCACATATGTGTAGGCTGACATTAAAAATCGATTGTCATATCATGTTTTTGAATAATTGTTTCCATTTGTGTCCATTGTGTTTAAACCATATCTGATTCTGAAACCTGAACGTCAACTGATCAGTAGCAGCTAGTTCTGTTGGATTTACGTTGTGATACAAATCAACAGTCTCAGATTTTCTGGCATTTAATGATGTGGATGTCATTAACATTTGATGGAGAATGTGAGAAACCTTTCTTCCTTACAAACACAATAATGATTTGGTCCATGGTGCATCTCAATCTGTCAAGCAGCACCTGAAATAAAATAATACTATGTTAGTAGTTCTAATAGACTATAGGCTAAGTGTTTCAAATTGCATATTTTAAAAACCGATGATGCCGGACTAGGCTACTAGGACATAGTCTTAAGTTGCATTTTATTTTATTCATTTTGACTGACTTTTTTATGTGTAGCCTATATATTGTCCTTGACTCAGTGTTCCATACACATAATATAAATCAGTGCATGATGACAGTTATGAGTCTTCTGAATTTGCAGATTAGTTACAAAGTTAAGAGGATACAGTGTAGTTTTCTTGACAATAAACAAGCCAGAATGAGAACATACACAAATAAAATCAACTCCCCACTTACCAATCCCTCCCTCCCAGTAAGAGTTTTTGAAAGCACCTATGCCTTTAACTAAAATTGTCATTTAAGAAAACTGACCCAAGATGTTGTCTTTTTATAAGTAAAGGCTATCCAGCTACGATGGGGAACATTTTTGGCAACCTTCTGAAGAGCCTCATTGGGAAAAAGGAGATGCGGATTTTGATGGTTGGGCTGGATGCAGCTGGGAAGACCACAATCCTGTACAAACTGAAGCTGGGAGAGATAGTGACTACCATTCCTACTATCGGTGAAGCACATTTTCAGACTTAAAATGTTTAATCGCTTAATTATTATTGTATTATTATTTCCTCTTACACAGAGACAAAGTCTATGTGAAGCTATACTCGTAAAGAAGGAAGTCATGTTTTACGAATCTTGCCAGCTTGTAATTTGGATCCCATTGTGCTGCTTTGTTACTAGGTTTTAACGTAGAGACTGTCGAGTACAAAAATATCAGTTTTACTGTGTGGGATGTTGGTGGCCAGGATAAAATCCGACCTCTGTGGCGTCACTACTTCCAGAACACACAAGGTGAGAAGAGGACTTGTACACATACACTCACACACACTAAACACACAAATAATAATAAAAAAAAAACAGCCAATACTCCTTGCAAATCACGAATCATGGATATGCCATAAACTAAAGCCTAAAAAGTCTACGGTCAGTAAGACGGTACGTTTTTAATACTCACCAAGGCTGCGTTTATTTGGTCAAATATACAGTGATCCATTATGATATCATTTTAATACTCTGATTTGCTCAAGAAACATTTCTTATTATTATCAATGTTGATAGGGTCCACAAGGGTCTTCATTGCCCTGTTATTTAATTACTGCCTCTCCATAACCACATTTCACATATTTCCCATGTATTTTGAAGGTTTGATCTTCGTGGTGGATAGCAATGACCGTGAGCGAGTGAATGAAGCCAGAGAAGAGCTGATGAGGATGCTGGCTGAGGATGAACTGAGAGACGCTGTACTCCTCATCTTTGCCAACAAGCAGGCAAGAGCTTCCTTATGCTTCTGCTGTTCTTTAATTCAGAGACTATTTATTGATGTTAGCATTGTGTTTGCCATCGACCAATATAACTTTCGAAGCAGCCCTAGTGTGTGCATCCATGTTGTTGACAGTGGAATTATTTTTGGTGATGTCCCTGCTGTTTCAGTATGTACAGTATGTGTGGTTAGTGGACTGGTAGTTACATTATTATATTATTGTAGAAAACGTCATATGATGCTGAGCAGTGATCAACATTCATAAGATAAGAAAATGTTCCTTGGTCTAGTTCCTCAGTGTGCCTGTGTGTGTTCCAGATGGCAGAGGTGAAAACAGACTATTTTTGGGCTGGATGAGCTCTCTGATGATTTGCAGAGCTCATTGCCGGTAGTGGTTGTTGAGGTCTGCCGCTGATGTGTTGAGCAGTTTTGAAGGTCTCTTTGATCTGATGATGTGCAGCTGGTGTATCATAGTGTGATGCTGTAGAACATGATGCTCCCCAACACTGATTCTGGGTTTTCGGTGTGTGCATGAATTAGACACATCCAGGAAAATGAGTTGGGGAATTATGTGATATAGATGCTGAGGAACTTTTTCACTATAAGCTTACTTGTTATAACTAAGAGAGATAGTCAGACTGTCTGAGGTAGAAACGGATATTACATTATTTGAGAGCTATTATGAAAGTTCCTTTACAGGATGCACAATTGATCAAAATGTACAATTATGTCATATCTCAATATCTCATTTCCTCTATTGTTATTCTTAGGCCTGGTTTCACAGATAGGCCTTATAAAATAGTATTAGGCCTCAGTTAAATTAGAACATTTAAGTAGCTTTTATTAATGTGCCTAGAAAAAAAAAACATTAATGGTGTGCATCTTGAGACAAAACAATGACACTGACATATTTTATTTTGGATATGTCAGTGCCAGTTGCTTTCAGTTCACATACAGTTTAGTCTGGGACTAGCTTAATCATAATCACCTAATGCTAATATTTAAAAACACTCGTTTTTAATTGTTGAATGGAATCTTTAGCTAAACTAAAAAATATAATATCCATTTTCAGACTGCACATTATAATGTTGTGATGCCTAAAATCAGTGTGTTTAAAACTGAAATTAGTGATTAATTAATATATTTGTATTTATATGTAAGATGTAGGTATTTTTTTAATATTATAAATGTGTATTTTTTTGTTTGTAGAATTTATTTAGACAAAATATTTTCACCATGTTATGAAAATAATTTTTATCAAAATTTTAATGGCAGTGCATCCCTATAGTTCCTTTGTGATTCGTTTTAATTTACTTTTAATATTTTAATTTTAAATCAGTAAATTATTTAGACAAACCAGTATAGAAGTTTATATAGTATAGAAGTTGGTATGAAATGAACCTTATCTATTTACAAATTGTAAATGCATGTTATAGATTTTATTGTGAATGATTCATCCATCCATTTGTATGTTTCATTTTTCATTTTCATGTTTAATCGAAATCATAACTAGACATCTTCGGATGAAAATGACTTCTCTGTGGTGACATATGCCGGACTACTCCAAACATTTAGTCCGCCTAAACCCAGCCCATATCTTACAATTTTCTTACAATGGCCGAAATCCAATCAACGACCAGTGGACAGTCACAGAACCAAGTCTCGGCCTCACATTTTTTCTTTTTCTGATAGTCCAGACTCCAGATCATTACACTTGTCACAATGCGGAAGAAAAAAACGGTCGCTTTCTCCATTTCATTTCTACTTTAATATCCACCATATTGTTCCTTATAGTCCACATGTCGCAACTAAATCACAACTAAACTATCTATGCAGGCTGTATACATAGTAAGATATGTAGTTGTGTATGTTTCTTTCTCACTCTACAGGATTTGCCAAATGCTATGAATGCTGCAGAAATCACAGATAAGCTGGGTCTCCATTCCCTGCGCCATCGTAACTGGTACATCCAGGCCACTTGTGCCACCAGCGGAGACGGCCTATATGAGGGTCTGGACTGGCTGGCCAACCAGCTCAAGAACAAGAAATGAAGCAGGCTGGGTCCAAGTGCAACCGTTGGGAAAGGTGTCAAAGATTCCTTGATTCTGTTTACAATTTATGACCAACGGGAGTCGGGTCATCTTAGACAGTGTAACCCCTCGCTACGTCCCACCTGACAAATCCGTGAGATGATTGGGGTAGCACTAGCACCCATGATTCATATTCATTTTTACAAGTGAAGATGTTTTACTATTCTTATGTGATTTAAACATCTCAGTTTCTTGTGTCTGTACACTGTAAATGTTTAAAAGACAGGAAAAGCTTTTACTTATATACTTCTATGGAATATGGAGGTATCGCTTAAATGCAGGTCATTTAAATTATATTAACTGCACTGATAGATGAGAAACCTGTTGATTCAGTTTCCTGAAATATTTAAATAAAATCCAGTGAAATAATACTCTGCAAACAGTTGAGAAACATGTGATTTTTGCTATAGTGTTCTTGTTTTGCTACTGAAAATGAAATAGAAATCATGCATTGTGATTTATTATTAGCATATCAGCCAGACTTCATGACTGTCAGTGTTACACAGGGCTGATGATGCTCTTATTGTGTGTCCACACAATAACCAGTGTCTCTGCACAGGTTGCTGAGCAAGCTTTGGTTTGTGTGGCTGTTTCTTTCTGTTCTGCTGTGTAGCTAAATGCATGTGTTTCACCGACTATATCCGCTGCTATTACATGTTTGTCTGTGTCGTGCCGTGTACGTGTAGACACGCTCATTGAATGTGTCAGCACTTGTGTTGCATTTATGTTTGTGACTTTTTGCTAGTGTTGCATAGGCAAATCTGAGGAGAAGAACAAGGGTACATCTCTATAGCCATGTGACTGGTGTAGCTGATTTAAAAGTATTTGGTAACTTCACACTAATGCTGAAAAGAGTGTCAAAGTGACTATACAGTAGTCACGGGTACTAATAGACTCAAATATGGTTGTGTGTGTACTCTCATGAATCGCTAAGTGTGTTTATATATTGCACGCTTAATAAAGTATGCATTTAGATAATGTGAATATCTATTATTTCTTGTAAAATGTGTTCAGTGTCAATTTTTAATGTTCTTTCGGTCCATTCTGCAAGCATTCAAATCAAATTCTAAATCAACTTAAATAGTTTTCCTAATTTTGCATCTGCACACAAAATTATTTTCAGTTATCCATTCTAATAATTATCCATATATGCATGTTGCTCCTCAACCAGTGTTTAACAGTGTTCAACACATTATTTTAGTATTGTCTATATACTATTATAGTACTTATTATTATTTCGAATTAGTTTTTATTTTCATATTTTTAGTTGAAGTTAAGTCATTTTATGTGCTTTTGTCATTTTGTATTAGTTTTTGCTTTTTTATGTATTTTACTTAATTCTTTAATTTTTAAACTTTTTTTGTTTTATTTAACAACAATACTGATCCCATTTAATTCAAATTAAAGTCAGAAGTGTTTAAGAGTTAATATGACAGGTGCTTGAGTACAAATTTTAGCCTATGAGAAAAAACATATTAAATAATAGAACAAAACCACTCAAAGTCTTTAGAACCAAAATGAACCCACATGGCTGACAAAGTTCATCTACTATAATTGCTTCCATTCTAGGATCTTTCTTTCTTTTTTCAGAATTCAGTTTACACACAGTCTCTTCAGTCATTCAGTGGTTTAGTATACAATTATAAAATTTGTTTCTGCATTCTGATAACTTTATCTGACACCACGAATGTGATAAATCTTATCTCTGTGTGGTTTTGGGTTTGTGGAAATTTCAAAGAGCGTATTGACAGTGCTTCATCTGCTTTGTGTGAACACTTATGGCTCAGAAAAGCCTAGAAATAATAAGAAGGGAAGTCTGTTTGTTTAGCAAGATGCCCAGTACCTCACCCCCTTATTCTGTGGCAAATCCCACACACCTCCCCGCCTGCCCTCACAGTGTGTGTCTCCAGGGGCGTGACAGCAGTATGTGGGTCAGGGCTGCTCCCTGGGTTGCCAGCCCCAATGGTCCCCTGCAGGCCGCTCATAATAGCGGCACCATGGCGGGTGCCATTGCTGGGATTCCCTCCCGTAACCGGGGCGCCCTCGCCCAGGGCACAGACTCACTGGCAGCAATGCTGCAATCAATTCATCAATCTGTGATGGGAGCTGCAACTGCTGAAGCCAGGCCAGCCCACTCCTCTTCCAGGCCATGGCCACCAGCAATGAGGCTGAAAGGCAGGATTGGAGAAATCAGGAGCTTGATGGCGTACGGATGATTATTTAGGGAGCTGTTGAGTGAGGGGGGAGGGGGGGGGGGGTTGTATACGGTCAAAGCAGACGGCCATAATGAGAGTTGTTTCACTTTGGGCAGGTCCTGAAACAGCTGAAAATTAGTACATGGAGTCCAAATACACATATATGTGAACCAAATACACATATATGTGAACACAATAGTGTTACAATTGGAGTGAGGCAAGACTGTAGCAACCATAATCATTGAAGGAAACACATCGCCCCAAATATTCCAAGTGGTTTATTAATATGGCTTTTCAATGACAGATTTTTAAAGACTTTTATTTTTGTTCCCCCTAATCTTGAAAATTTGGTGACTTTCTCCAAAATGTTAAAAATATCAAACAGTAAAAAAGTCAATAATTAATATGGATGGATGGATGGATAGATGGATGGATGGATGGATGGATGGATGGGTGGGTGGGTGGGTGGATGGATGGATGGATGGATGGATGGATGGATGGATGGATGGATGGATGGATGGATGGATGGATGGATAGATAGATAGATAGATAGATAGATAGATAGATAGATAGATAGATAGATAGATAGATAGATAGATAGATAGATAGATAGATAGATAGATAGATAGATAGATAGATAGATTTATAACTACAAATTTATCTCAAACTGGCATCTAAAAAGATGTTTTAGATACATCCTTCAACATTTATCCGATGTCTCCATCTGCTGGACAACAGACTCGAGTGTGACGTCACTCAATTGGTTCTGGATATTTACTCATTTTCATTTATGGATTGGTCTACATTTTGGATTTTGTTTAAAATCTTAATATTTACTGCTGTTTGCTTCAGACTTGATATAACAGCCCTTAAGAAAAGTTAGCTTGGTTTTACCCACTGTAGCTCGGTACACTAAACACTAAAACTATAATAAAATATTTGGCAGTAACATTTTAAAAAATCCCTAGCAGATGTATAGTTTCTATATTTGTGTAGGCTATATAAATAAACACACTAGAAATATAGTAATTTGTAGATATTTTTTTTGTTTTAGTTTTTTATTTTTCATAATGAACAGTTTTTTTAAAAAAACATACTTTATGCTAACCATGGTGATGAGCTATTCATGGTTATAAATAATTAAATAATTAATGGAATAAAAACAAATAAATTTGTAGTTGTTTCAATATTGTTTAAGCATTATTTTTTCATAATAAAGACGATTTCCATTTTTGGAAACAATAGTTAGGCGACATTAAGCAAACCTTGATGAGGAGCTATGGTTTTATACTTATACTTACTCTATAAGAACCAACCAAATAAATAAAATAATAACGGGCCAATCTGAAGTCTCTGCCGTCCGAAAGAAGACCGACAATGCAAAGCAACTTTATTGTTCCCTCTCCCGCAGACAGTGGTCGCTGCACGGGCGGATTGGGATGGATTTATAGCAAGGGAAATCGCTGCGTTATGAATTTCATAAAATCTTTGCTTCTCGGTTGTGGACTGTATTCTTTCGAGATTTTGCCAGATTTGTTTATTTACTCTCCTCTGTTGAATACGTAAGAACGTAAGAACTGTACGGGTTTTGAAAGCATCTTGTTGTTTGCAAAGCAGGCCGCGCAGTCCTCGGATTTTCCAAACAATTCGTCCGGCATGGTGCGCTCGGCCCTCGGGACACTTGCGGCATTTCACACCCGGTAAGACCTGATACTGCGCGGGCTGCAACAAGTCCTTTTGTCTTGCTATGGATCGAATAATCTCAACTCCATGTTCATATTTTGGCTATATTTGAGGTTAGATTGGTGAGTTTGCTCAGTAACGTATTGTTGTTGTATTGTAAACACAAAGATTCACGTACTTAAACGTTGGCGAGCATGCTAACGTTACATTAGCAGCTAAGCTAGCTACCAGCTCTTATGTTTCAACAAACTGTTTTCTGTTATTACAAAACCGCGTTTCTAAACACTTCCAAAAATATATTTTTTCCATTTACAAATCCAGGGGATAAAATTAAAATAAGTATGCATTGCAAATTATAGCTTTTATACTTCTCGTTCGCATCGTCTCAGGGGAAGTCAGCTTTATCTCTGCAGCTCTAACCTATACAATTTAACAAGTTTTACAAAGATTAATATTTAATGTTTATGTTATTACTTTGCGATTTATTTGATTATTTATTTTAAGTGTCGTTTTCATAAATGTGTAGTTTTTTCCACTATAATGCATAAAATGTATAATGTTAATAATGTGTTAACTCTAAACCCAAATATCTCTCTATTTGTAACTCTCTGTAAATGAACAACTGCACCAGATAGTCTAGGGCCAGGTGTTTTAGGGATACTATTTAAAATCCTGCACAATTTGATCATACAGAATGTAATTTGTGCTGTTTGCCTTCATTGTATAGAGAATGAATAGGAACTTGCTTATTTTGAGTCTGTTAACCATAATAGTGCAATTTTTTTTTTGTAATAAATAATGCAGCCAAGCAGATGAATTGGTTAACCGCTGACTGAAACAATTTTTTCAGATATTACTCTTTAATGTAAAGTGCACATAATTGTTTTGCTGCAGTTTGGGTAAGTTACAAGAACGATATTTTTATCAGCAAATTCTCCTTTGCTCTCTCAACAGGTGCCGAACCATGATGTGCACCTAGCGCCTAGTTCGACAGCAGTGGTCGTAGTAGTGAAGCTTTCTAATTTACGATTGACTGAGAGCTGTTGTCACTGCCAGCATACTTCATATACAACACTCTACTGTAAATATAACAGTATTTACAACACTGCAAGCTGATTTGTGAACCGCTCTGAAGTGAAGTTAACTCTCCACAGAGGCAACTAAGTGAACTGTGGTGCCAAAACAGAAGCAATACCATATTATTTAAAACTTTTATATTGACCATTGGCCAGTGACTTTAGAATGGCATCTGTTCCTGTTTACTGCTTGTGTCGTCTCCCGTATGATGTCACCCGATTCATGATTGAGTGTGATGTTTGTCAGGACTGGTTTCATGGCAGGTGAGGTTGCCTTTTGTAAATTACTATTTAAAACTAAGTCACCTTTTTCTGATTTAAATGATTTGTATTGTATTGTAATTTACTATTGATCTTCTGTAGTTGTGTTGGAGTGGAAGAGGACAAAGCAGCAGAAATTGATCTGTATCACTGTCCTAACTGCCAGGTGTCACATGGACCCTCTGTCAGTAAGTGTGGCATACGTTATAAAATTTGTAAGCATTGGCTATAGTTATTTTAAAGTCATGAAAATAAAGTTCTGATAGTCTTTTCTTTCCTATTGTGATGTATGTCCATGTAAAATGGATTATCTAACAAGAAAAAATGTAGGGACTTAATTTTGTCACTTGCTGTTGCTGTGTCCTGCCCTCATGGCTTTTTGATTAAAGATTAAGAGGGCACTTGAATTAAAATAAAGTGTTAATGATGCGTAATGATAAAGGATTTAAAAAAAAACTGCAATATTCCCTAAAAAAGTTCACTTCCAAGTATTATCTCCTATAAGCTCCTTCAGTATTATCAGCAGCGATCGCATTTCTCAGGAGTTAATTTTCCTCCTCCATCCCCAGCTCCTCCTCTAATCAGTCAGGATTTGGCATTCTTATTACCCCTGAATCAGTCTAAAATTCTCTAATTATGTTGTACATTCAAATTAATTAATGATATCTCGTTATTGCAGCTCTCTCTGCTCTTATCCATGCTAAACTGCATGGATGCGCAGGGACTACTTGCCCAGAACAGAACCATACTGCCAATCCAAACTGTATGCTAATTGTCAATCGTATTTGACGATAGTGATCCTGACAGAATTGGTATTTTGTTGACTTAACTTTGTTGTGATAATCAACAAAATACAATTTTAAACCAAGAAGCTCAGAATGGACTAGCAAACCTATAAAGTTGCATGATTGGTAACTAGGATATCTTCTTCTCTAAGTGCGTAAACGACGGGGGGCTCCTAAGCATGCTGATACTAGTGTGGGGAGAGAATCAGGACGACCTGTGAAGACGGGCAGTGCTCAGTTTGTCAGGGAGCTACGCAGCCGCACTTTTCCCAGGTATTGTTTATTCATGTTATCTCTTGCTGGGTTACAGGACACTTACTGCATGGTCAAAATTAGGCCACCTGGTGACTCTGCTTTCTTAACCCAGATTAATTTAGCTCTGATCAGACTTGAAGCGATGATTCATACCACTCAGCTTAGGTTTGCAGTTTTGCAGCTCTGGTGTTATCAGATTAAAAAAGTTTCGAAAATGCACAGTGATGAGTATGCTGATATTTTTAAATGTTTGTATTTAAGTGCTGATGAAGTCCTGCTGAAGCCAACCGGGGCCCAGCTCACCGTTGAGTTTCTAGAGGAGCGCTCTTTCAGCGTCCCGGTCCTGGTCCTCAGGAAAGATGGCCTGGGCATGAATCTGCCCCCGTCGTCCTTCTCTGTATCGGATGTAGAGCATTATATTGGTAAATAACTCACATCTGTAGTGCTGTTCTGTGCTACGTTTCCAGTCGTATGTTTGTGAAAAGTCATGTTTACAATTGTGTCATAGGAGCTGAAAAGGAAATTGACGTGATTGATGTCGTTCGCCAAGCAGACCTGAAGATGAAACTGGGAGAGTTTGTGGAGTACTATAACAGCCCAAACAGAGACCGAGTGCTGAATGTGATCAGCTTAGAGTTCTCAGACACCAGGTGCTTTTTTTGGGGAAGTGCTAATTTAATCTGAATGTAGCAGCGGTGCATTGAAGTCAGCCTGAAATAAAAATTCTCTTTTCTAAATGCATAAATTAATCACATTAATGCATTTTAATTTTTTTTAAATTTCTTTCTGTGAAACGTCAATGAAAGTTTTCCTTGCGTATTTATCTGTGCAAACTGTCTAACAGTTTTTGTTTCTGTCCTTAGGTTGTCAAATCTGGTGGAGACACCAAAGATCGTGAGGAAGCTGTCATGGGTGGAGAATCTCTGGCCTGAGGAGTCGGTCTTTGAGAGGCCTAATGTGCAGAAATACTGCCTGATGGGAGTGAAGGACAGTTACACGGACTTTCACATTGACTTTGGAGGAACCTCTGTGTGGTACCACGTACTCCGGGTCAGTTATTCTCTTTAAATCGTGTGCATTACATTATCTGTGGAGATGGCTGGAAAGGGTTGTATGCATTTGAGAGGAGTAACTGCATTTCATTACTATAGAAAGCATCATGCTTGGTCTTCCAGACAAAAGAGGTCTTATTTATTTGTTTTTATACATGTCAGGGTGAGAAGATCTTTTACCTCATTCGTCCCACTGCTGCTAACCTGTCCCTGTTTGAGTGCTGGAGTTCATCCACCAATCAGAATGAGCTGTTCTTTGGGGACCAAGTAGACATGTGCTACAAATGTTCAGTTAAGCAAGGAAACACCCTCTTCATCCCAACAGGTACGATGTCTGTTTCTGCCAGTAGTAAGATGCACTGGGATTCATTTCAAAATAAACTTTTAGTTTTGATTTTAATTACATTCAGATGAATAATTTTGATTCTTTCTTTGTACCTTAATTGTTTGCTGTCAGGGTGGATTCATGCTGTCCTGACCCCTGTGGACTGTTTGGCATTTGGGGGAAATTTTCTACACAGCCTCAACATTGACATGCAGCTTCGGTGAGATGATGCGTCTGTTCATCTCCTCACACCAAGCAGTTGTGCTCTGGGCTTTTTCATTGGTCAATTTTCCCTTTCTTTTTATCAGAGCATATGAGATAGAAAAGCGTCTAAGCACGGCAGACTTATTCAGGTTTCCAAACTTTGAAACGGTGTGCTGGTATGTTGGCAAGCATCTGCTCGACACCTTCAGAGGTGAGACTTATCTTCATAAAGCAAATGAATGTTTTCTTTACTGCTTATTTTTACTTTTAAAACAACTGTCTTTCATGTACTTTCATTTTTCTGTTTTTCCAATCCACTAAAGGTCTGAGAGAGAATCGACGGCATCCTGCCACTTATTTGGTCCACGGAGCCAAAGCTCTCAATAATGCTTTCCGTAGCTGGACACGGAAGGAAGTAAGTTTAATTATATTACATGTAGGACTTGTGATTAATTCGGTATATACCCATGATATATTCATATATTTAAAGTCAAGTAAAAAAAACAACAATGAATCAGTTCAGACTGTTTAATTTAGTTGATTAAAAATTGTAGTTCAATACACTGTGAATATATGTTGGTAAATATTGTTTACATTTGGAGACTATGAATGAAATATTAAAGGGATAGTTCACCCAAAAATAAAAATTCTGTCAGTAATTACTTACCATCATGTTGTTTCAACCCCGTAAGACTTTAATTCATCTTCGGAACACAAATTAAGTTATTTTTGATTAAATCTGAGAGCTGTCAAATAGTCCTGGATTGGATACTAAATTTATGTAAATTTAAAGTATTTGTTTTACCATTGTTTTATACCATTGTAAATTATTTCATTGTAAATATGTGCGATGACACAAAGCTTATGTTGGTTGTTATTGTGATATTCAGTCCCTGGCTGAGCATGAACTCGAGATACCAGAGACCATAAAGATCCAGCAGTTAGTGAAGGACTTGGCCAAGGAGATACGGCTGGTTGAGGTGAGAGTAGCTCTGGCCCGAATTTTCAATGAAAATGTATTGATTTATTTCCTGCTTCTGAATTTTGTGTCTCTTTTTGCAGGATATCTTCCAGCAGAACATCGGCAGGAGTGGAGCACCCTTTGGTGGCTCTCAGGGTCTTCCCTCTCCTCACCCCAAAGCTCCATTGAACACATCCTTTAATTTTGGCCAACACCCAGGTAAAAAGAAAGGTCCCAAGCTGAAGGATGGATTTGGAGGAGTGGGCATAGGCCCTCCAGGAGCTAAGAAAAAGAGCCAAAAAGGCAAAGAGATAAAAACAGAAGCCGGGGAGCTGGACCTACTCGAGATTCATACTAAACACACGCTCAAGAAGTTCCAGCCAGGGTGCAAAGTCAAAAAGAGCAAGGTAGAATTTCTAAAACATTTATAGTTATTAATCATTATAATGTTTATTACATTACCATTCAAACATTTGAGGTCAGTAAGAATGTTTTGTTTGAAATCCAGCAAATATGCATTAAATTGATCAAAAGTGACAGTTAAAGGGATAGTTCACCCCAAAATTAAAATTCGTTCATCATTTACTCACCCCCAAGTTATTCCGAATCTGTATGAATTTCATCAAAAAGACGATATTATGAAGAATATGGATAACCAAACATTCGATGGGCCCCATTGAGTTCCATAGTATGGAAAAAAATACTAAGGCAGTCAATGGTGTCCATCAACTGTTTGTTTTCCGACCTTCTTTAAAATATCTTCTTTTGGGTTCAGCCGAAGATAGAAACTCATGCAGGTGTGGAAAACCTTGAGGGTGAGTAACGGATGACAGACTTTTCGTTTTTGGGTGAACTATAAAAATGATATTTCATGTTCTTTTAAACTATATTCATCAAGATCCTGAAGGAAATTATCAGTTTCCACAAGAATATTAAGCAGCACAACATTGATAAAAATAAATGTTTCTTGAGATTTAAATCAATTTGATAGTGATCATATTGGTTTCTGAAGTAACAAATGAAACTGAAGACTGGATCAATACTTTTGAAAAAAAAAATAGACTTCAAAATATTAAAATGTTTACAAGGAAAACTGTATAATTAGAATTATAATAATATTATTTTTACTGTAATTTGGAAATGCAGCTTTGGTGAGCATAAGACTTCTTTCACAAACATAAAAAAGTACTGATCCCAAACTTTTGAACAGTAGTTTAATAATCGTAATAATACTTTGTATTGCATATATTCTGTCTAATATAGTATTACATTGGGTTCAAATAAAGTTTTCCTTTTTCCTTTTTAAAAACAGATAAAGATTTTATTTTTTGCAGTGTAAGTCATTAGGTCATTTTCTTTTCAGCTTGAGCTGCCCGATGACTGTCTAGATGACTTTGAAGAGAAGATCAACAAGAGCAAGCTCAAGCTCGTGCTGACTAATGGAAAGATACATGGGTAAAACAGTTATCTTCACCCATTTCCCTGACACACAAGTATTTTTAATGTAATGCAATGACACCCTTGTTTTTAATATCTCCTCTTCTTTCTGTCTTAGGAAAAAAGGTCGTGCTGGCAGTGCGAACGGAGCCGGGAGTTCACTTCAACAGTTCCAGCCCCACATGGCTACTTTGTCTGACTTTGATTCTGAAGATGAGCTTCAGATTGATGAAACCCCTCCACCTCGCCGTAGACCATCTCTACCAAGCAAGAAGAAATTAGCTGGTAAAAGATGTCTCCCATTTATTTTTTATGTTTAACTAATGAGAATTAATCACATCAACATCTTGGTACAAACTAATACTTGGCTCAATGGTTTCATTAAGGTCTACCAAGGAAACTACCTCGGGCCAAACCATGCAGCGACCCCCACAGAATCCGTGAGCCAGGAGAAGTGGACTTTGATATTGAGGTATGCAAGTCTCTTTTAGGCAAGCTTTATATTCATCTCTAGATGTCTGGTTGTCATTGGTTTTGTATCTTGTTGTTAAATAGGAGGATTACACCACAGATGAGGAGATGCTCACAGTGCAAGGTGTGAAAGGTGGAGCAGGTGGGATTTTAGACTTGCTCAAGGCAAGCAAACAGGTGGCGGGTCTCGATTCTGCACTGAGGTAATTCATACGCACACTTTATATGCTGCATGTTGGCCATTATTAGTCTTTATGCCATAGTGAAAGCTGTAGATGTTTGTTTTTTATATTCACTTCTGCTGCTTCTTTGTGTTATCAAGCGAGGAAGCACCAGCCTCCCCCAGCACCCGTGATGCTATCCAGGGCATGCTCTCAATGGCCAACCCTCCCTCTTCCTCATCTTCTTCCTCCTCCTCCTCTCCTCTCTCTATCTCCGGAGGAGGTGAGATGATGGGGCTTTTGAAGGAGAAAGGTGGGAGAGTTGGGTGGATAAGTGGAGTAAAGAAGAACGAGAAGAAGTCCACCATTCAGAGGCCAGGGAAACGGCCCATCAAGCGTCCAGCACGGCACCTCAGTGACGAAGAAAGCTTGGATGAACAGGAGACCCTGGGTACCTGTTTTAAAGACTCTGATTATGGTGAGTTCACAGATTCTTGAATATTTACACCAGGGTTGTTAAAATGCGTAGCAGAGGAAATACTGCGAACCAGAGTGATTCAGTTTAAAAGATCATTTCTACTCTTCTATAGTGTATCCGTCACTAGAATCTGACGAGGAGGACCACTTAAGCAAGTCCAAAATGAAAAGAAAGAGAAACTGGGATGATACACCCTGGAGTCCTAAAGGTAACAGCGTGAAATGAAAATTTTGTAGCATTTTATTTCTAAACGTTTCTGAACATCATTTCCTCACACGTCTTCAGCCCGTGTGACCCCTACACTGCCCAAGCAGGAGCGACCGGTAAGAGAGGGTGCCAGGGTGGCATCTGTTGAAACTGGGCTGGCAGCTGCTGCTGCCAAACTGGCACAACAGGTGAGCTTCTGTTACAGTTTTTACAGTTATGTTACAGTTAATACAGATATATATATATACATAAATATAAATTTGTCTTGTTAGCATTTTCAGCATCATTACTCTCAGTCTTCAGTGTTACATGATCCTTTAGAAATAATTCTAATATGAGAGAATAATTTATCATTAATGTTGAAAACCGTTGTGCCACTTAATATTTGTTGGTGGTTTTTTCAGGATTCTTTGAATAGAAAGTGCACAGCATTTGAAAGAAAGAACAGCAACGATTGAAATTGTAATCTATTGTTGCTTTTATATCAGGAACAGCAGAAAACCATAACCAAGAGAAGATACACCAAGAAGAAGGTCCCTCAAGAGAAAGTACATTCTGCAGCTGCCCAACTCCAGCGTCAGCCGGACTCTCCACCCGTGTCTCCTCCTCTCCCCTCTGAGCCTCCTGTGGACTGCATAGTTGAAGAGAGGAGAGTGGAGGTGTACTCTGCCAGCCTGCTGGACCACGAGTACACCGCGGGACCAGGTCCGTTCAGCCCTGGGGGTCCAAGAGGAAGTGGTGCCATGGCCCCTGGTGTGTTCCTGACTTCAAGACGCCACTCTCTTTCTCCCCAAAACAGCAGCAGCTACTCCCCCTCTGCCCCCTCACCCGTAGGTCTGGCAACTCCAACATCAACAGGAGCGTGTCAAGGTGTCTAGCATTCCAGCACAGTACATTTAACGGTGATATGCTTGGAATTACACTGAAATGTTTTCTCTGTTGCTTTCTCACAGGGAAACGTCCAAAGAAAGGACTTGCCACAGCTAAACAGAGACTGGGAAAGATTCTGAAAATACATCGAAACGGCAAGCTTCTCCTTTAGATTGATATGGAGAAGAGACTGCAGGGAACAATAGAGGTGGAGAACACAAATGAGGATGAGAGGACCTGAATGATAATGGAGTTAAATTATGTGACTGTTTTATGGTTCTGCTTGACTGGTTTTATTTGCTACATCTGGGCGAAAAGTGAAAAACAGTAACTTGCTGTGAGAAAACTCAAGTGAAATCCATTGAGCATGTTTTTTTTAGGATAGAAACTCTATTTGAAAAGCAAATAGAGCTAAACAGACATATACATTTAACAATGGATACCAGTGAGCGATGTCTGTATTGCTAAATTGCTATTTTTTTCAAGTGCTCCACCTCTAGAATGCATACATGTACACTCCACCTAAACCCTCTTTGATTTATAGTTAAGTTTTAGTTTTAACATTGTATATTTCTAGAAAAAAAAGCTAAATTCTGAGGAGCACTTGATGTTAGATCAAATTGCCTAAGGCCATTGGAAAAAAACAATTAGAACAAAGACTGGTGTATTTGGAAATTTGACATCCCCCCCCAAAAAAAAATTGTCCCATGGAGGAGAGATCTAATTCTTCAGTTATCAGCTCACCCATTCTCAGTGCTATTTGTCCCAGTCTAATCTCCTCCTAAAGCCATGCATATTGTTTGTTTACATGCTTCATTTAGTGTGTGTTCATATCAAATTGTTTTATACCATAGAAGGCAATTTGATACACCATCGTAATTTCTGTAGATGAAGTCCTGTAGTAACGTCTCTTTGCTTGTTAAATAATGTTTTTACCGTAGTTTACTAACTCATTTTTATCAACAAATGTATTTTAGATGTGTATATATATATTTTATATAAGTTTGTCTTGTTTTGTTTGTTTGTTTTCCACTCAGCATGGGCAGTATAATGTCCTGCCACCATTTGGCCATGGTTGTCTTGTTGGACTTTCCATCTATAGTACAGCTCCGAGTTTAAATTGGGTTGAGTTCAGTGGTACACATTTTAGTAATTGTAAAGAACATGGAAAGTGATTTTAGAGCAGTTTTGAGATCTGATGGCTGATTTTTGTAGGTTCAGTGTATATATTTGATGTTTTATTTGATTTTTTTTTTCTCGAAAGAAAGAAATTGCATTGGAATCTTTCTTGACACACCTTGTACAAAATATTCACGTTTGATTAAGTAACAGCATAAGAGTTGTTTAGTCAGTTTTATTTGTATAGAATAATTATGCTGTTATTTTTCATTGATGCTTATGATATTAGCAATGTGATAAAGTTAATGTATTCTACTGCTATGTCAATGTTATTGTTTATTTTATTTTCCCCCCACTTATCAATAATATTGTGTTGTCAATATACTTTAGTTTTGCGTTATATATATATATATATATATATATATAATTTGTTTTTATTTGCAAAATATAACATTTTCTTGTAATTTTAATGTAATGGAAACAATACTTTTTTTAGTCTTCTCCCTTCACAATTATGTCCATAATCAGCACCAAAAATATTGATAAATCAATGGGCCAGTGTAAATATTATTTTACTGTATTTTGTTTTTCCTGAAAATGTCACACATCTTCACCCCGAACTGTCACTATGCCATCCGAATGTGATTAGAAACTTGTTTTAAAGTGGTTTGTAGAAATTAGTATTGAACTTGAAATAACAGAAGACAGTTGTTAGAATATTCTTTTTAAAAAAATTCGAAATTGTTTTCAGATAATTCTGCAATTTAAAAGGAAATTTCTGGAATATTTTGAGTTTTTTGTACATTTGTTTGGTTTGACTACTACTTCACATCATCTCTAAATATACGCTCATATTTTACTAAACATTTGTGCCTTCAGTAATGTCCCAAACATAGTAACCTCTCTTACTGAAACTTCTACTGAGACACTATTCAGGATCTCTAGAAATTGACAGTGAAAAACGGAAATGATGTGAAGAAAGCTGCGCAACAAAGAAAGTGTTCAAAAATCTCAAAATATAAGAGGACTGGCTTTTAAAGATGTTTTTTAATTAAAACACATTTAATTAAGTTATTATCTTCTTTATCGTCTTGAATTAATTGTGTGGATTTTAGGATTAAGTTATCCTTTAACCTTTTTCTTGTATGTTGATGTTTATTTTGAACAATTAATGTTGATCATACAGTTCCTCTCAGGGTTTATTTTGTATCTAATATCATTTTGATAGAGCAACAGTAGTGTTAGGAGTAAACATTCAGGACCACTTAAAAACCAAGTCAAATTTCAACCCATTTAATATTTATAATTGGACGTTGTATTTTGCTATTGTCACCACCTTTGGTTTTTGAAACGGCTTGAGCAGTTCTTTCCAAATGACCTCTATTAAAAAGTATTTTTTAAAAATTGTTTGCATTTTTTTTTCTTTATAAGCCTATTTTCATCTACAAGTCTTTAACGCGCTTAGTAGGTCAACTCAGCATTTGCTCGCTTCTTTGTTTCTCAATGGTCTATTTATTTCTATTGTGTGCCACTGCCAGTCAGAGCCAGACGTTAAAAATAATGAACCCATAAACGGGAGTCACGTGATTTAAAGCCGCATCTCTGTTGCCATAGTGGTGTCAATGGCGGCCAGCTATTGGCTGATGGCACGTCTCCATCAGCCAGTCAAAATGCGCGCTTTTTACAAACTACTCCGGAAGTCAACACGCTGCTGCTCTGCTGAGCATTTTCCCTGTGAGAGGACTGAGGAGTGTCTAGATGTGGAAAGTCCTGTAGTTTGAAAACAACATAAAAAGCTGCAGTTTTTAGATATTGCTAACCCAATTTCCTGGTACGTATGCGTGTGTTAGTAAAATTATATGCCTACCGATTTATTCACATGAATATATAACGACTAACGTTAGGTACGAAGAGCTTGCATGATAGTACTTTGATGTTATCTGATGTTGTAGGCTGCATTGCTATAGCGTTAGTGTTATTTATGAATGATTGAGGTATTCGTTCGTATTTATGAACACGTCTTCGTTAAGGAACATTTATTATTATTAATATTATTATTAATCTCAAGATCCGCCTTTTTACAGGCACTGAACCCTGTCGAGATGGCGTCCTCTAACCCTCTGCGACCCCATAACAGAAGTCAGCAGGATCAACCAGGGTAAGTGAGCTGATCATTCACTCAACGAATATTTAATATCAGCTTTCTCCCCCTCAAGAACCATACATTTAAATGTCACTTCCTTAATTAATTATTTGACGGAATATTTCAGAATAACCTACATTTTTTAATGCTATTTTTGTTTTTGTAAAAAAAAAAAAGAAAGAAAGAAAGAAAGTTTAACAGTTTTACATTTATGTCTTTAATCCATTTAGCAAGTAATTTTATAATTATATGGGTGGATATTTCTACGGTTGTCAAGAAATATCAGTGTTATTTTAGTATCTTTGAGATACCATACCATTTTTATTCATATTCAGCACATCAGCACAATTAAGCCCTCAATTTTCATTACTATAATGGTTCTTGTACTGTCTTTATCATTATTTTATTTTAATGATGATTCAATATTCTTTTTTCATTTTTTGGAATTATTTTTGTAAATTCAAACCAAATTCAATTACTGAAAAAAACCCCCATTAAATTATCAAAACTGAATAAACTTTTATTTTACAGTGATGTTGTTTTATTAATATCTGATCCATTATATTCAATGCAATTAGGACCTTGATGAATCAGGATATGAAGACTAAGATCAGTGCTTCCTCCTTTAAAAGAGGATCTGAGAATCTTGACCCTAATGCTTCTGCTGAAACTGGAAAAGGAGTAAATAAACTGAAAGGTGTCAGCAGGCTTCCAGTCCTCGCCAAATCTCTGCAGCCAGCCCTAAGTGAGCTCTCCCAAAATCCCAGTCTCAACAGATGGGAACAGAGGCCTCTTATGGTAAGGACAAGCGTTTCTGGTCATTACACAAATCTGAAATAAATTACAATGTCTACCAAGCAATTTTAAATGAATAATTTACCTGAAAAAATAAAAAATCGGACCACATAAGTATTATTTATGTATTTATTACAACAATCTTAAATTAAAAAATATTAGATAAGTTTGTGCTTTTTATTCATTTATATATTTTTATATATGGCTTTATTTTAGTTTAGTTTTAGTAATTTTAGTACTTCTACTTATTTCAGTTGAAAGTTTTATATTTTTCATCTAATATAGTATATTTGATCTTATTTCAGCTTTATTTTAATTACTGGAAACGTTTTTAACTGCTATAGTTTATCATCAATAACAACACTGCTACATGCATAATGATTACTTTTTTTTTTTTTTTTTGTCCCTAGGGTAAAATGCAGAAAAAAAGGGCCTGCACCAAACCCATTCCTTTCAATCTGTCCCAGTCACGCTCACGCAGTCAGAGAAACACAGACATTCCTCAAGAAAAAGCACCCCTGACGCATTCTGCCCAACTAACACCTGTGGCAAAAGCGAGGAACCTAAATCCAAGTGGCAAAACTGAAACTCAGAGCCATAAGGCTACTACACCAGGTATCCTCAGGAATCCAGCAAACAAGTCACAGCGATTGCAGCCTGGTAGTCATGTAGAATATGTTGGATTAAATAAAAACTCCACTGATGTTCACCCACCTTCACAAGAATCCAGATTCTGCAGTCACACTGATTTAAGTTCACGTTTAGGTAGCATCACTCTTGTACAATCTAAGCTTGCTGAAGACTTAAGTTGGAGTAATTTATGTAAAACTCCACTTGTTAAAGATGACGTTAATTCTGATAATCAAGCACCAAAGGACAAGTACTGTTTCCAAACTGTCCCTTCAACTACACAAAGCCATGTAAGCACTGAAGGTGAGTGGGTTGCTATCTGATCTTTTCTTGTTGTGTCAATTCAATGTTTAAATTGTCTTAAATGTTCATGGTTCTTTGTTTGATTTATTCATTAGTTATTTATCATTGATGTATGTGCATGTGAGTACAGGTTCATCATCAAATCTTCCATCAGCTGTAGGCAATGTCCTTCCATGTGAGGGATCGAGTGCTGTTGGAGCACAATGCATGATGCTGCGTTTATCCACCTGCCCCCCTGGACTGGGAACCTCCATTCATGTGGTTAGAAATTGTAGAAAAGCCCCGTAATGAAACCAAATTGTTTGCTGACCCTTGATAAGGATCATGCCTGTTGTTTTTCACTTTTCAGTCTAGTATGATGATGTAATGGTAATTATTTTGCTCCAGATAGCATTATGGTGTTCTGTTTGTCTGTATAGTTGGTACTTAAGTCTTTTTTTCTTTCTTTTTTAAGCCTCAAAGAGTTGTGAACAAGAGTCATCATGGTGTTGATGGCACTGCAGGTTAGTTCACCTTTAAAGACTTTTGCCTCCGGTTTCACAGACAAGGCTAAAGTCCAAGGCCTAATTTCTTAACCCTGTTTGTGAAACCAGGCCCTACTTTTCTCACCGTACAGAGAGGGTGAGCTTTTTATTTTCCTTTCATTTCAAGACAAAGCTGGGACGTTTTCCCCGGACCCATCGGCACTACGTAGTATTCTACAGAGTGATGGAATGAGACTGGAGGAGCATGTTGGAGCAACAACCAGAGTATCAGTCTGTCCCACTGGCAGAGGAACTTCTATTTATTCAGTGAGTCCAGTCCAGTGTAATGTCATTCACACAGTGATTATGATATTTTACTTCTAAATGGTCCATTTAGGCAGAATATGTTGTGTGTGAAATAGACATGAACATGTTCACTTTAGGCTCAAAGAGTACCTGTCAAAAAGACTAAAAAAGAAGCTCCAGCAGAGGCCAAAAGCACTACAGGTATGTATTTTTGTTCATCATTGTGATCTTAGCAGGACTATTTAGCCTTATACACTGGGATTCAACATTTTGGCATCAGTATTTTGTAAATGTTTTTGAAGTCTCATGCACATCAAGGCTGCAGTTATTTGATCGAATACAGTGATACAGTAAAACGGAAATGTTATGAAATGTTACAAGTAAATTAATTGTAATATGTAATTTATTCCTCTATTGGCAGAGCTGTATTTTCAGCATCATTACTCCAGTCTTTAGTGTCGCGTGATCCTTCAGAAATCAGTCTAATTTGCTGAACATATTTCTTAATGTTCTTTCAATGTTAAATATGCTTATTATAGATATTCATTCTTATCTTTGATCAAAATATCAGCATTTATTTAGAAATCTTTTGTAACATTATAAATGCATTTACTGTCACTTTTGATCAATTATTTCACTCCATAATTAAAATTTCTTAATTTATTCACCCACATGTCATCCAAGATGTTAAGGGTCTTATCTAGCAAAACAAATGCTTGTCTTGCACTACCTCTGGATGCGCATCCATGACTGCACGCATTACATAATCACATTAGAAAGGTCATGCGTTACATTGGCGGGAAAAACTCCAACTTCAAAATTGTCCGATAACCTTTTTGTTGTAAATGGCGTTTGACTTAGTCTTTGCACATTTGCTTTGTAAATACTGTGTTGATACTTGTATAAATATTACATAACTTTTATTATTCAGCTCTTTTCATCCCATAAGGTTGATTTGGATGTCATATGATCCTTTAGGAAGTGCTGTGTCCTTCTCCCCTGACCCTGCAGCCCTGTGTAGTATTCTACAGAATGAAGGTGTGAGGCCTGTTGGAGCAACACCCAGGGTTTCAACCTGTCCCACTGGCAGAGGAACCTCCATTTATTCTGTGAGTCTGTTCAGAGTGATTCAACTTTCAGTTTTGTGCTAAAATTTTGCATTTTTACTAATGGAACTTTATCTCAGGCCCAGAGAGTCCCAGTGAAGAAGAATAAACCAGAAGCAACACCAGCAGCATCTCATTGTAAGTATCACTAGCTATGTTTCCATCCACCTTTTTTTTTTTTTTCATGCTCATTTTGGGGAATCGCATTAAAAAAGCTGGATGGAAATGCCAAGATGTGTTTAAAGTTTAAACTACAATGCAAGCGCATTTTCTGAACAAAAAACTCACATGACTCTGCCTCAATGGTGGATGTGATTAGATAACTGGAATTCAAATTTCATTCCAAAGCACCTGCTCAAATGTGGTTTGATCATTCTGAAATGCCTGAGCCAAAGTCTGTTGGATCAATTGACTTCCAGAAGGGTCTCGCGTGATTGCATCCAATCGTGAGATAACATGACAGCGTTTATTGTGTTTTTTCTGTGCGCTCTGAGACCGAAGTCATTTATTTTAAACACGTGGAATGGAGACTACTTGATACAGAAATTTTTTTTTTTATGTGATATTTCAATTTTGCGCATAAGATTCGCAAATTTGGATGAAACATAATTAATCTCATGTGCTCCTTCTCCTTCAACATCATGCTTTCATCCCTATGTC